ACATGTACCAACGAATGGGATTTCTAGTCACGAACGAGATATGAATCAGCTCTACAGATCAAGATATGAAGTGTGAGGGCTAAATTCCCTAGAACTTACTTTTTAGAAAATCTAAGTTTCATTTCAAATAATGAACCATGTGCATTACTTTACTTTAATAAAGCCATTGCAGAAAGTGGCGGGGGTCTTGGGCCCCCAGTCCCCCGTTTTCCACGTCCGTGTTTTGAGTCCGTGTTTGTATTTGTATTTGTATTTGTATCTAAAAAAATTACTTTGCATCCTAAAGGCTGAATTACGTAATTTTTACAGTTAAAATTATTCTATCATTAAAATTAAGGCTATAATTATTACTAAGAACCATTAAAATTATTATTATATAAGATAATAAAATAATTTCATTTTAAAATTAAAATCGAACGTTCATCCCTTTCATTCTGACAGCAATTATGAACTTATTACATAAGGAATAATATGAAAATTAACGAAGCCATTGGATACATTTCAATAAACTGTAAGGTCTGTTTATTAATCAAAATATTATGAATGAAATCATTTAGTTCTAACATCCTCCTCCGGCTGCACACGCACCCCCACCCCCACCCCCCCCTACTGCATTCAAGTTTACACTACTTTCCGAAGAAGAATCAAAGCAAAAGTACGATAACAATAAAAACAAGATCACGCCAACAACAATCAAAACTATCTTCCAGATAGGGAAACTGTTGTCAGAGCTTTCATCGGTAGAATCTGAATTATTAATTTTACAAAAATTTTTGGACTGATCACAGTACTCTTTATGTCCACCACAATCAAAGGAAGAACGACATGATTTTCCAACACAATTTTTATTACACGTCCTCACAAGGCGACAACAGAAAGTTCCATGTTGACATTCTACATCTGTCTTGCAACCATCAACCCAATTCTCGTGATAAAATATGTTCACGATAACAACTAACAATACGACGGAATATTTTGCCATTTTCTGTGCTCTCAATAAAACGGTCAGCAAACGTTTTTTGTAATCCGTTGTTTTGAACCTATTCTCGAACGCTTAAATGGCCCAAATGAAGTCTTCTCCACTACACGTCAGTTCATTATTCAACAAAGATCTTTAAATTTCGTCGTCTTATTTATAGACGAAAATTATTGCCTCACAAACTATTGCCAAAGAAGTTCGTTCGTGTTAAAAGAAGCCGCCTCGAAGTCCGAGGCCGACGCTGAATCATTTATTATCTGAAACATAGCGAAGAACGCAAGTTCAAGTGCCTCCGAAATTGTATTGGATCACAATGACGCTGGCGCCCACACAATTACGCAGTTTACGGCGCTGAAACGCCCACTTGGATAATTTGTGGCCATTTGACAGGACAAAAGGTGCTTTTACATAAAAACACGAACGATTAATATCACGAGAAGCTGAAAGATAAAACAAACGAATCTCAACGTTTCGAGAGCATCTCAAACGAAAACATATTACATAGCACCTCAAACGAAAACATATTTCATTGGCTGTTCACTTTATAAAGCCCTACTGGGCCTTATGAACGTTGTTAACTATTGTATTTTATCTTGAATTTATAACTAGGATCTAAACAATTTGATGAAAAACGTTTTTCATCTAATAAATGTGGTGGTATATGATTATATCGTGTTTACCCTGGTATCCAACCTCAATCATGTGACGATTTAGAGTGATTTGATTCGCAAATTTGCGTTTGAGATGAATGAGTCTAGAATAAATCGAGTACTTTTATGATGGTATGACATGAAGGGAAATAAATACTGGCAATACAAAATAAAAACGTAACAATAATTTGTTTTACCTTACTAAAATTAAAATAACTATCTAGAATTGTGCGGTAGACCGAGTCGGTCATATGGTGCAATTATTGGGTATACTTATCTCTTGTCTAATTTCATTGATAATTAGGTCATATATATATCCATTTGATTGTATCGATCTCTAGGCCACCAGGAATTGCTTTGATAGCTTTCATCTCCATAGTGTTAGGTGGTGCAGCTTTTTGTGTTCACGAGGCGTTGGAGTCCTCTAGTAGAGCCTCTCCATGACCAGTTTCCAGTTCCACCCATGCAGCCTAGGAAAAGTGAGTCGTCTGGACCTTGGATAACGCGGTTGATGCCTGCTTAGAATCCTTGCGCAAATCTAAAAATAGCTCCCTGATATTCGCCACGAACTTTATCAAAGGCGATACGGCGCATACCGCCAGCAGTGAGCTCACCAAGCAGCATTTGCCCAGCGTATGGGCCAGAATTTAGCATGATGCCCTCCGTTGGAGTTATCATTCTGTGGCATCAAAATAGATTTGGGAAAAAATGGGCTGACTGGTTGGCTTTGAAATTTCTTAGGCACACCAGTGAAGCCTGAGCCAGCTGTGGTTGGGTTGTTGTGCCCGTGGGATCGGCCTTGTCTCATTTCTGTGAGCGAGTTTGCTGGGTTCCAGCCACCTTGGTTGTCTGCTACAAAGATACGCCCTTCGGGGTCTATTGATACTCCATTTGGGGTGCGCAGACCGCTCGCAATATAAAGTGGGGTAGCTGTGCTTCCTATGGTGGGGAGCTGCACTTTGAATAGGCACCCATTGTATAGTCACCGCGGTTTGGTGCACTAGCTCCACCTAGATTGATAGCTACAGAGAAGTTCCATAGATATAGTCTACTCCGTTTTCTACAACATGAGTGAGGCAAAATGGATATTGGTGGAAGTTTTCGTAATTCCAGTCATCGGTTAGTATGGCTGTTTTTGAGTCATAGATGCCATCATTGTTAGTGTTCACGAGGTGGTAAATGTTGTCTCTGAGTGCCGCGTAGACTTGTCCATTAATTACTGTCATTCCAGTCCATTCCTTCATTGTAAATGAATTCGCGAGGCCCTCCGTGAGCATATTCTAGCATGAACTCGAATGCAGCTATGTTATATGGCTTGTACACTTGCCAATTTATGTTCGATTTTCTTCTTTTGATGATGTGAACGAGTGAATTAGTTACGAATGCTAAAAAAATTACTCATTCACATCATTAAAAGAGGAAAATCGCAGCAAAAATCGCAGGTGTAAACGGGCCTTAAAACGAGATCGGAATCAGAAAAAGGAAAAACACAACATCAATTTGACATCTATCAAATTTTTAACGATGATTTAACAGATATTGTAATAAAAATGAAGGGATTTTTAAAAACATATCAATGGCAATGGTGGGAAGATTTTAATCCAACAAGCATAATAATGCAACAAGCATCAAAAGTTTTGACCAGTCATTGTTATTATAATACTTATACCAGGTTACAGTAACAAAACTTATGCACCTCAAAACAGAAGCAAGCATTCTAATTAATTCAAGAAGCATGCATTATTACGCAATCCCATGCCCAACTAATACTAGAAGTTTCTATGACAAGCGAGGTGCTGTCAGGGATGATTCGACAGGGACGATTCGATTTAAGGCCCGTTCACACTTGCAATTTTTGTTGCCATTTTATGTGCGATTTTCTTTTCATATAGATGTAAATGAGCGAATTAGTTACTAACGCTCAAATAAAAGCTCTTACAAATCAGAGCATTCAGAACTAATTACTCGTTCACATCTATCAAAAGATGACACTTTCCCTTCAAGTGAAGGACACCACGGAAATAGACCTTTTCAGCTTGTATGCAAATTAACCAATTTCAAATCACATGGTCTGCAATGGTTAAGTTTTATCAAAAGCAGCCCGGTCACTGCTGTTACGTCATGCTATTATATATGTATATAATTACAATAAGGCTGGCAACCCTCTTGCAAAAATATAATACATACATTAATACCATCGCTTAAAACAAAAATACTACGCTAGTTTCTTAAAAAAAACTAGATACAAAACACCTTGGATATATTGACTATATTTATCTGTCGTTTTTAGACTTGAAAAAATCTCTAAAATGCTCAAATTTTGCGAATTAAAAGTGTATTTTCGTTGAAATTTTGCGAAACAGAGGCGGGATGCAATTTACTCGACAAACGTCATCATCGGAAAAATCGTCGACAAATTTTTGATTGGTTGTTGAAAGTCCGGAAAATAACGAAGGCCAACTCAATGAAGAAAAAAGATCTTCGTTATTTTCCGGACTTCGCAATATTTCAACGAAAATACACTTTTAATTCGCAAAATTTGAGCATTTTAGAGTTTTTTTCAAGTGTAAAAACGACAGATAAGTATAGTCAATATATCCAAGGTATTTTGTATCTAGTTTTTTTTTTAAGAAACTAGCGTAGTATTTTTGTTTTAAGCGATGGTATTAATGTATGTATTATATTTTTTGCAAGAGAGTTGCCAGCCTTATTGTAATTATATACATATATAATGGCATGACGTAACAGCAGTGACCGGGCTGCCTGTGTTAGTACATGTTAATTTGCGTACAAGCTGAAAAGATCTATTGGTTTGTTTTCATGCAAACCTAGCCGCAATTCTTCATACTTAAGGCCCGTTTATGTGCGATTTTCTTGCTTTAAGTGCAAACGGGCCTTTAGACTTGGTGGGCAAAAAGATTCATAAATTGCTCAGCAAATCGTGAACGATTTGAAGCATGCACACGGTAATCGTTAGAATTCGAAACTTGGAACTTGTGCGCTTACCTATAAATCTCACATTTCACAGCTGCCATGTGGTTTTGATAAATTTTCAAAAGATTGCGGAGTACGTAACCTATTCAGTGGCATGTGAGGTCAAAACAGAAATGCACAAATGTGCAAACCAGTGATAAGTTCTTTTCTTCTAATTACAGGTTAGATACGTTCCAATATAACCAGGGAGCAGCATGGCAGCCTCTTCAAATAACTTAGCATCAAATGTGGTATAACAACTGCCTGTGTTTTGTCTAAGTTAGGCAGTTGTTATACCACATTTGGTGCTAATTACAGGTTATATATTAGCGCTTGATTAATCAGTAATTTAAATTCAAACAACTGGTGTGAACAAGTGATACGAAACTTAATATATTTGCAACTAAAAAAACGATGTCTCCTTATTTTGTATGTACAAAGCTTACAAAATAAATCGGGATATTTTACAAAAGGACTAATTAAAATATAAGAAAAACGGAAAGAAATATGGAACTAAACTTGCATATAAGAAAATGGCTCTAAACGAAAGAAAAACCGTATAAGAAAAATGGAACTAAACTAAAACTTGCATAGTAACATTTACGTTAATGTAATAACAACATAACGTTAAAAAAGCGTCCTTTGGCTTTGAGACCGCTTTTAGATAAGTCATACAAGACTAGTCAGAACGGTGAAAATGCGTGAAATTGCTAGATGAAACACAAAATCGCATTTGCTTTTTGATCAAAATCATATTTGAAGAACCAACGCCTAATTTTCAAGTAAGAGCCACAAAAGAACATGCTTCGTATGCAAGTTTGTTCCAGAACAATACTGATTGCAATGTTCGGGAAATTTGACTATAAAACGATATTTTTTGAAACCAAAACTTCTAAAAGTCTTGTAGAAAGATTGCACCATAGTGACCCTACTTTGTCAAATCCTGGAAAGTAATGCGCCATTAAGAACTAAAAGAATTTTAACTCTTTCCCAAACCTAAAAGCTACAAACTATTGCTTATTTATAAGTCAAAATCGCTGTCGTCATCATTGTCGTCGCTATCCATCCAGTCTTCCTCGGCACTGGAAGCATCTCTACTCTGGTTATCACCATCCTCCTCATCCTCACCAAAGGTATATTTCACAGCTGGTTTTTGACGACGCGCTGGTCTTTTCACGGGAGAAACAGGTTCAGTCTCTGAAATCATTTCAACATCGCTGTCTTCGTCACTGCTGGCTAGGATGTCACGAGGTCGTTTTGGGGCGGCAGATGCCTTGGTTTTGCCCGACGTTCTGGCCTGTGGAGGGACGAAAACACGATAAAATATTCAATTAACAATTGTTGCACGTTAAATCGTGCTCCACGAAGGATCAAGACTGCTTTCACAAAACTAAAATTATTCTCTGAGCCATTCAGTACGTGGGGGGAAACCTGAGGACGAGGATGTCCTTCGGAACAAATAGGACAGTTTCTTTCTTGTCTAAAACGAAACACTAGCCTAATATCCTTCAGTACAACCCGAGTTGAATATTGGGAAATTTCTTGAAGGTCTACAAAGTTGACGTACCTTCTTTGCGGGCGGTTTGGAGGTTTTCGAGGCAACACTACCCACAGACGAGTCAGAGTCGATATCTATGATTTCTTTCTTAGCTGCAGCCTTCTGTTTAAAATGAATTACGTTTTTAATCAGTGACGGGTTTGCGCACAAGAAACTAGAGGGCACAAGATACGAGTATTGCAACCACATTAACAATGGTGGATTTTCATTTAGGCATAGAATTTAATGCTCAACAAAATGCTGAAAATAACTTTTGAATATTAAAATGAAACGACAATGGTCGGTTTTCATTTGGTGATAATTGTCGTGAAAAAAGTCATTTTCACCCATGTGAAATACACCGGAATAAGATTTGTCTTTCTTTACTGTATTGATATTGCATGTTACACATGTAACAATATTCCAGTTCATCAACACCCTCGACATGTTCACGACATTTATGATTGAATAAAAACTAATCCTACATATTTCGCAGCAAACTTGAAGACTTGAATCCAAAATCCGTAATTACGATTAACTATATTTCATATGACCGCTCTCAGAACTTAACTTTTAGCTTAATGAAATATTGGCACAGTGTTCATTCTCGATGAGTGCGAATATTCTAAGAATGCAGGCCTAATGTTGCATTTTTCGTTAGAGGAGCTCCTACATGATTTAGGATGACAAGGAAATTGTCATCCTAAAAGAGAAATGAGTATACAAATTCAACATTGAAAAGTTTAATTGCACATTAAGTATGCTTTATATCTTCAAGAAACACAACGCCTAGTTTCGCATCTTCTATATATGTTTGCAGGACAACTTACCCGTTTTGCTGGTGACTTGAGTTTCTTTACTTTGTTTTTCGCCACATTGGAGGCAACAGAAGATTCGGAATCCGACATTTCCCGTACCTTGGATTTCTTCGCCTTGGTACCGGAGATTCCGGACGTTGCAGGCTTCTTACCAGTTTGTTTTCCGTTCACTGACGACGCTGCATCTGAGGTGTCTTCGAATTTCTTTAAAGCCAGTCTTTCAGTTAGGGACAACATATCTTGATTCTCGCTCTCATCGCTGAAGCCCCAGTCATCCTTCGCCTTCTCTTCGCGAGCAATCTCCTTCTCGCTTGTTTTTACGTTCGCTGCTTGCTTGGCAAAAGCCTTCTCAATCGAGTTCTTCGGCTTGGCTGCTGCAGGTTTACGAGGTTTGGAAACTTTCGATGACCTCCCCGATTTGTTCCTGGAAACTACCTTCGACCCGGCTAGGGCATCTTCTCGTTCCTGTGCTTCGACAGCCTAGAGTGAGGATATCACAGACATGAAATTCTAAGAGGCGCATTCATTGCAACCAACACAACAACGGGCCTCTAGCCTCATACATTTCAAGGTCAAGTCACTTTGATATGCGAAATCGCTGCTCAGGCGTACACTCAAGGCGTGTAAGAAAATCACGCCAATGTTTCTCGTATGTGCATGCTAAACTTTATAAATCCCTTCTGACAATTGCGTTATCACAATTTAAATTAACTTGGATAATCAACTACCGTAAACTGTTTCAGGGACGTAAACAAAAGGTTCGTCAAAAACAGCCCCATGATCATGACGCATTGTCAATATCATTATTACCAGTCCTTTACTGCAACTTCAGGACCCACAGCCGTGGCCATGCAAATTATTGTCGGATCAAAATTTCGTTTTAAAAACAGCAATGGGAATCCATGGTCTACTCGAAAGTCTGAGAACTATTTTAGTTCTTACCTCGAGTCCTTCAAGGAAACGATCTAGGTCTTCAAGCCACAGATCTTTTGGCGTTTTGCTACGCAATGTTGCCAATTCAGATCGCTAAAAAATAACAACATTATGTCTAAGGCTGCGAACATGACGTTTCCAAATGAAATTGGGCACTACCTACAGAGGTAGTGCTTAACAAGGGCATGTTTTATGAACCCTGCAGTTTTGACTTTGGGCACCAGTCTGAACGCAGCCTTAGTGTTAGGTGTGAAACAATGCAACTAAAATATTAAACAGATTAGGTCTAAATATATGACATGTCCGTTTCGAGAGCTTATCCATGCAAAGGTTTCTTTACACGTTGCGACTAGTTATAGGTCGATTTCAGAAGTATATGTAAAAGACTTTTTAGATATAAGTATAAAAAAGGCATCATCGCCTTTGAGTGGAAGAGTCTATAAGGAATAGGCTTATTTCTCAGGTAACAATGATTGGTATAGCCATTGTGCTAAGGTTCTATACGTACTTTATATGTAACTTGTAAAATGGTTGTTTAAAACATGCACAGGTTAAATTTCCACCATGTACACTGCAGTCTATGCATAGTCAATGACAATACAGTGGACGCAACTATACTCACTTTATCGTCTCGTTGTTTCAACAATTCATCTTTCTTTTCCTTAGAAAGACTGAGGATGGCCATGCTTAGTAGATACGCGTAGTCAGGTCCAGAGCCGGGGGAACTTGATGTGGAGCTGACGGAGCCAGTCTCGCTACGAGAATCATCATCGTCTGTTTCCTCGACGACTACGTTCGCGCGTTTCTGGCTGTCTTTCCAGATCTTCACTGGGTCCGATGGATAACCACGTTCGACCAGTTTCGTAACGACATCACGTTTCTTCTTGTTTTCTGAACGAGAACCATGGGAGTTTCAACATGAAAAAGGTACAATAAAGAGGCAGTTACCTGAGGTGGATTCGCTCACCTTAATGAAATATTATCGACTAAATAATTTCTTTTCAGGCTTTAGGTCTAATTATTTCAACGATATAGTTACATGAAGATTTTAAGAGAACACGTAAAATCTTAGATGGTATTGCAAGCAAAAGCCGTTCTGGTTAGGACGAACGTAAAGTTCGACTTTCTTAGGCCAAAAATGGCGGGAGCGAATTATAATGGAAAATGTAATGGTTGAAGTGTGTGCAGCTATGTAGAGAGAAAAATATCAGGAAACTTAACACAGAGCTTGAAATAGAACTGAAACAAATAAATTGAAATAAAGTATTTCGTTAAGAGTGAAGCGGTGAAATTGCATTTCCCGTTCAAAACAAACTAAATAACGATATACTTAAATGCAGGTTGAGTTCTTGAAACACTCAAATTACCAGTAATCTCTGTGCACTGAATTTCAAATGCTCCGCTCTGAACGTTTTCCGTATAAACGCCTTATAGACGGTTAAAAATTTTAAAACCGAAGGATAAAATCGTCAGATCAAATATCATTGTCGGTGTTTCCTGGCTAAAGAAAAGGCACCTGCTGGTGCATCATCCATGCATTGTGACATTAATTTACCACTAGCTATAGTAATCACGGGCTAAACAGTTGTATGAGAAGTTTTATGCAAGCATCAGAATATTCTGAGTATTCGTTGTTAAACACTGAACTGCCAAAATCAGTAATAATTCCATGTCTAAAATCTACGAATATAATTTCTAACATAACCTTCAGGGGTGCGCCAGAACCTTAAGACGCGCCATGCAGAATGAATAAATTACCTATAATGATGGTGCCATCAATTTTTTCCAGGATAAATCTCGCTTGGGCTGTCAATTTCTCGGCTTCGGCGGCCAACATGCCCTCGAGGAATTCCTTGCGTTTTACATAAATGTTGAAGCGGATACGATAATATTCGCGGATGATCTCATCCACACTCTCGAACTTCTTCAAGGCACCATATGCATCAAACAACACCTAAACACAACAATAACATCTGGTTGGTATAAGCAATTACTAAATGGTTTCTGTTTCTGATGGCCTGATCCAAACACGCGGAAATTTTGCGAGAGTTAAGAAAAGCGCGCGAGACTTGGTGAGGTTTTCGTAACCCAAGCAATATTTCCACACAGGAAACCATGAAGCAGCTAATTGTTTTATAAAATACCATCAAGGTAGTGTTTCAAGTTTGATTTCAGACAGCGAGTCAGACACCGTTTTTGGATTAGGCCATCCAGAACACGCGTTATATACATGTTGTTTAATAATAATCCTCTGTTGGCCTTATCAGACATCCTTCTTTCTATAAATTTACAATAATATATATGAAAAAACTGGAATATGGCGGATCAAACCACCGTAAGTAACTGCGTACGGAAATATGACTCAAAATAGACAGTTTGTTCAAAATAGAAAACACAATTCCGGTATGTCAGTAAAGAACATTCATTCTGCTTTCTCAAGGTATGAAAAAAGCGGGAATCTGAATTTTTGGCGTACAATAATGTAAGAGAAAAGAAGGTGCATGGGAGTAAAACATGTATTTACAAGGTTAGCGCTGGTTTTTTAGAAAGTCGTAGTAATACATACACATAAAACGTTAAAATCAGAGGCCCTAAATTATATATGAATCTGAGAACACCAAGGAAAGGTTTCAACGAGGAACTTATATACTATTCAAATATCGGGTAAAATATACTATACAAATCCAAAATGTAAAGAGAAGACAAGACAATTTTTCAACTGACCATGTTGCTGAGATTAATGGAGGATGTCAAATTGAACTTCTTCTTCAAGCCTTGATTTTCTATAGCAGTTAGATCTTCTTCGGCCATCGTCACTTTGAAGTGAACTGTTGTGTCTGTGTGGTACTCCTTGTAGTCACTAAAGTGCAACACAAATAAGGATCATTTACAGTCAATACAACCTCCGATCGAAATCAGGGGGATATCTCGATATTCCATTGAATTCTCTCGGGGAAAGGTCTACAAATTATCTATCAAATTAAGACAACTGGTGTTCAATATAGCGAGTTTAAGATTCACCAAATCTACGACGCGGACGTGAAGTAACACCGCTTTAATTTTTACAGTTTCCCAACAGGTACGGAACTTTAAGCATAACGGGCTTGATACAACCGGCCCCAGACCACGCAGAAATCGATTTGCTTTATAGATTTCTTGTATGTATTTTTAGCAGATTTGGGCCAACGAGACAAGTATAGTACGATCCCCAAAGTGGGTTATGCCGTTTAAACTAAAGAAAGCCACCTTAACTAAACAAACTCTAAGTAATAGCACTTTTCCGGGAAAGAATCATAAAAGAAACGTACGTGATACAACCTTTGTATTTGACTGTCCCGTGCAACATTACTTCCAATGTGGCTTCTTTGTAGTTCTGGGTCCATGTTCCGACCGGAAGTTCAGTGATGTCCACCGATTTCTCGTCAAGAACTTCCGCTCGCCCAAGCACTTCGTATTTTTGATGCCCAGTCTGGTTAATCTCGCCAGTGAAGTTCTTGTAACATGGATGCTTTAATAATAAATTAATAACAATTTATTGATATCCATCTTTAGTATAAAATTACAATGGCATTTGCAATTGATAAATTAGATTGAATGCTGAGGTGAAAAATATCTATATATATGGACGAGAATAACGAACGGAACACTGCTTTCTAATTTGTAACATGCCTTTTAAAACGTATCGTGCCAAATAGACACGTGCGTCTTTTGCACTCAAGGAAACAAGCCTAGCCACCAGTCTAAATCAGTATTCTTACTAAAGCTCAATGGTCTACCTTTGCCATTTCCTTAACATATATAGTTTGCAGTAAACTTACCAGAGTTGACGGTGTGCGATCATTTAACATATCCTTAATATACTGCGCCAATTCTCGTATATCAAAGTTGGGAATCTTGGTACTATAACCAGTGCCTATACCATCAGCACCATTCACGAGAGCCATTGGAATGATGGGACAATACCACTCAGGTTCAATCATCTGGTTATCTTCCACAAGAAAATTTAGGACGTTGTCATCGTATTGTGGAAACACGAGGCGAGCCAAAGGGCTGAGCTTGGTGAAGATGTATCGAGTGCTCGCGCTGTCTTTACCGCCGTGGATACGCGTACCGAATTGACCGATGGGCATCAGAAGATTCAGGTTGTTGCTGCCAACGAAGTTTTGAGCCAAGTTCACGATGGTCATTGCAAGACTTTGCTAAAAAATCCATTAAAGATGTCAAATATTTTTCAATGTGAAGGCCCGCTTACATGCACTTGCAATGATTAACATCGCCATCGCCTTCTTCGGCCAGATAAAAATTGTAACAGTAGCAACAGCTTTTTGGGTGTAAAATCTTATGCATAGGAGATGCAAGTCTCGAATGAGAATATGAATAGAATCATTAGAATGATTTATAGCAAACGGCCTATAAATATGCGAGACTCCTTGCAGTTCTTCCGAGTGATAGCAGAGACATGCCGAATAATAAATCGAATATTCAAAGTCCTAATGAGGGATTAGACGATGACACGCGTCCTCGATGAGGATGACACGCGTCCTCGCTTTTCGCGAAGATGTATAATGACTATAGGTTACACGCTGATGATCCATACCTCTCCATGATGATATGCAGAGAGTTCAGCTACAGATCCAGCCAGCTGCGCAACTTTCACTTCTCGTTTATCATTACGCTTGAAGCATGTGAACAAGACCTTCCTTTGTCCTGGTTTCAATCCTACAAAGGACAAAACGCACGTTTAACATGACGATACTCAAATTCACCTCGAATTTTCCGTTTTTTGATATATGCAAATGAACGAATACATAGTTGGGACTGGTCGGATATACTAACCAAGTGCCCTTGCGTTAAAACGCTTAGCCTATCCTGTGATTTACGATCAAAACCATCAAAAGATGGACGAAAATCGCATCAAAAACGCATCAATATATCCAAACGTAAACTGGCATTTAGAATTCTTACCATCAACAATAGAAGGAATCGATCTTTCATTATCAGCGTTGGAAAACAGAATTAGCTCTTTATTGACAAAATCTGTGTAGGTGATCCGCTTGGTGCCTGGTCCATAGAGATACACCTGTGTGGAATGAAAATGAGTACGAATGAAGAGGTTAAGTTATTGAACGCCGGGCCAACACATGGACTGTTATGGACGTCATAAATTCGAGCACAACAACGCACCTCGGGTAATCCGGCTTCTTTTCGCGTCTTTCTTTCTTCCAGTTGGTAGGACAACCATGTCTTACGGTCAGCCACTTTCTTCTTACTGAAGGCCTAGCGAAGGAAAAGGCTCAAATGAATATTTGAAACATTACACAACTAATGCCGTATCCAAGCAGAGAGATTGCAAATAAACAATCACAACAGTATTAGTAAAAGAAATACTACAATTTAATTTTCTTATACAATCTATATAATATTATTGGCTTTAAATTCAGCTTAATGCTCATCAATGCGAAACTTTCACTCCCTCAAATTCACTTTAAAAGAAGTGCCGAGAGTCCAGTGGTAATTAGCGAAGTTTTTTTAACGACAATAAAGCGCAAAGCGAACTAGGAAACGTTGTAAAAGCACTTTCAATTTTATCACTGTCTTTGGCGTTGGCAAGCAGGAAATCAGGCATCTGTTACAAAATCACACTTTGGAGACAGTGTGCTTTAATTTTTTTTAAATTTCATGATTTTTTTCCTTTCCGAGAAGCAAAGTTAATTGGTTCGGCATGGTTCGGGTAATAATAATTACATAGGAAAATGTCTGTGTGGAAACAGCGCCATGTTTCCGTGAAGTTTCCTAGTATCCTAGTTTTATGAGGCTGAATGTACGAGGCATCGTGGAACCTAAGGCCCTGAACAGGACTTTCGACGAAATTAGCATACAGCCTACATATCGTTCTTCATATAGATTGAAAAATACCCCCCATCCCCTGATCAATCCACTCACTACTGAAAACTTACTAGAGTGATAGCCTCATCATCTGCGATACCAGAGTAATCAAAGAGGATACGATGTCTGTTCATATCGGCGAAATATTCCTTCGCCTCTTTAGGCGTACTCGTACCCAAACCTTTGTAGTATTTGATCTTCCACGATTTTGCATTTGGGGTCCTCTCTTTCCATTCGTCAAATTCCGGGATACTGTAAAACGGGATCTCTTCCTTGCCTTTCGATGCCTGAAGTGAAAAAAATCCAACGTACTGAATTAATTTGAAAGCACATCTGAATGCTCACTTTAAAAACCCATTTACACTTGCGATTTTTGCTGCGATTTTCTTCTTTTAATAGATGTGAACGAGTGAATGAGTTATTCAAATAAGAGTTCTACTACATCAGAGCATTCATAACTAATAACTCGTTCACATCGATTAAAAGAAGAAAATAGCAAATAAAAATGAAATCAGTCATGAAATGAATCATGAAATGACTCAGGTGTACATATGAATAAATATTGTCATGTTGCTACTCTGAGGCACCAACCGGGCAAGCTTAAAATTAGCTTGAGCACGTTGGAATCAAACCCGCCATTTCTGGCTAACTCTACAGTAATATACATACGTCATAACCGTCATAACTGTATAGCTAATTAAGCCTGGGACAATAACAATAGAACTGATCGACAGTTAGAGACCGAGAGACAATATATGGATATGTAAGAGAGTGAAGGAGATTAACACAGGCTGTGTGAAAATCATATAAAGGAATAAAATATACAGTTTAAATCGGAACAAAGAGTGAGAATATTATATTTTCCAACTCTGCTACTAGGTCAGATCATTTCAAATACTGTAGGTGATATTTTGGAACATAATCTACTCTAGTCCTTTGTATATCTGTGTGTCTTAGTGTAATAGTGATTGTGATGGTGCTATAATCTGTAGTATAGGAGTGCAAGGAATACTGTATATGAGATACGTACTTTGACAATGGGAGTGATGAATTCCTCAAGGAAAGGCAATTGCAAGAGCTCTGGCCAGTTATGATGTATGAAGTTAATCAGCAATCCCTTGATATGAGAACCATCCTGATCCTGATCAGTCATGATCATAAGGCGACCATAACGTAAGCTCTTCATGTCTTCGACAGTACGGTATTTCTTGCCATACGTCAAGCCCATTATTTTCACAATGTTGTTGATTTCAGCATTTTCCACAACCTAGCGGAATAAAGCATGAAAACAATACTTGAATATGTGCGAATGACATGGTATTACAGAGTTCATAGGTTAAGGCCCGTTTACACCGTTACGTTTTTGCTGCGATTTTCCTCTTTTGGTAGCTTATAAAATCGCCAATTTAAACGGGCCTTTGCGGATGTTCAAATGAGCTAGGGCACTACTTATCCCCAACATCCCAGCTCACTGAACCAAAATATCAAAGACGCAGGAGCTGGAGAGTTACAGGGCAGGGCTAGTGCCCATTTTGCCTTTTACTAGCAGAATTGTATTACAATTTGTTAATAAATTACAATTGCTGCCAACATGCTTCAAGAATAGCATATGCAATCATCAGACTAGAAACCCCCAGCTACAGAAATTATCTAACAAAGATCTTCGTTACCTGTTTATGCGTGGCTTCTCTGACATTGAGCAGTTTACCGCGAAGCGGGAATACGCCATAGCGATCACGACCGACGACGCTCAGACCACTTACAGCCAACGTTTTGGCTGAGTCTCCTTCAGTTAAGATTAGGGTACATTCTCTCGAGTTCTTTCCGCCAGCATCATTAGCATCATCCAGCTTTGGGATTCCTTTTAACTTCGAATGCTTGCCACCACTGTTCTTCTTTAACTGAGTCTGGTGAAATGCGAGGTATACTGTATTAACACAATATTAGAGCCGGGTGCGTGCACGTAAAGAGATAAAACTCATACTGAATAGCAAAGTCATGGAGTTGGAAATCTCAATAAGAATTTTAAGACCATGTTTCACGATGCAATTTTTCATGCAACTTGCAATCCGATTTCACTTTCGAGTGAAGTAAATTCGGCAACTACGAATCTTTTGTGCCTATTTTACTCGACGCGGATGTTTTCTTATACGGGCATTATTCTTTAAAAGTAGAATTGCATTGCAAGTTGCATGCAAAATTGCACGGTGTAACAGGGTCTTTTGTATGTATACCAGTGGGCATAGTCGTGAATAATGCAACCCCCTCTTGCAGACACAGTACTCAAACCTGCCAATAAAGCTTAAATTCAAAGGTATCGAGTAATACGGTTATAATCGTATAGGATTCATGAACATGTGTGATTGGATAAACAAGCCTACGAATTAACGTCCGATTCGAAAGTTAATTATAAAAAATTAGAGAATAGGCAATCGTATACAATTAATGGTAGCGTATAAATGCATGGGCCCTTAAAGTTAGCCAGTTAGGCTTGTTTCATAGCAAATGTTTAATATCTTTTATTTTAATACCTGAGTTTTCACTTTAACCCAGTCAAGAATGTTTTCCACAACACCGCATTGCGTCACCTACATTAGAACAAAAAACAAAGTCATGTCACTTTACGACGATTTGGAATGCAAATTATATACAATAAGTTATTTCGGGATTTTTTTCCGTCACACCATTCTACATCACCTCTTTAACAAACTTGTCCCCCAAGACACACTGCGATCCGAAATCTTTCGCACGAAGTGTCATGTTTTCCTTCGTTTGGGAATCAAATGCCGGGTTCTCAACCAAGCAATTGATAAATATCCACAGGTGATTCTTGACCTGAAAGTTCTTGACGGCAACGCTTCCTTTGCCGGCTTTTTTCTTGATGACTCCCATTAGTTTTTCAATAACCTGGTCAGCGACATAGTTCACATGCGTGCCACCCTGAAATGCAGCAGAATATAATTTAATGTCGTAGCTGAATGGTTTATTTTCAAGAGCGACATAGCCATGATAACTTTCTTCCATGCAGAAACCACACGCAGTTCGGGAAACGAATCAAACGATCCTTTTAGCTAAGTTCGTCTAGATAAGGATAATCCGTTGTATACACGTGCGACTTGAAACGGCTGTAAACGGTCAAATTTACATTCCCTAAATTCAAATGCAGCTAAGGTTTTGAAACTGAGTAACATGGGAAGCTACTGTGTACGTATGGTATATTCTAGCCCTATTTGAAGTCTGCCTATGGCATTTTACCCTTACCTTAGTAGTTGCAATGCTGTTGACAAAACTTGCTTGTTGGAAGCCCTTGTTGCTGACGGTAACCGCGACCTCCCAACGTGAGTTGACTTTTTCATGCACGATTTTCCTTTTACCATCACTCTCGTCTTCCGAGTCGTTATCACCATCTTTCAGATACAGCTCCATGTAATCTCTGAAGGACGATATCTACAACGAAGAGATGAAATTTAAATAACCTAACCTGTATCCCACTGTTGCTAATGATGCCATGTTCCATGTCAAATTCCTAAGAATTGCGCAAAGTTGCCCAAAATTTATGCGACGTTAATTTGTCTCAAAAAGCTCTATACTCACTGTATAACATAATGTGCAAAGTGTTTGTTAACTTCAACATAATTTTTTTAAATAACCACATCTGATCTTTAGTAAAAGCTTGGTGTAAATCACCGCCATATTTATCTCGCCTTCGACGAATAATTGTTAATTATTGCTCAGTTTGTTTTACGCAACCTGCCAATGTCTGACACTTTCCAAATCAGGTTGGGTGCGCACGAAACAAAAGCTTGAAAACATAGCGAGCAATATAATCGGATTTTTTTTGTCTTACATGGAGCGAACATTTTCTGAATTTGTCTCTGATGGAGCGAACATTTTTTACGTTTACCGTACATATATACGGCTACGATATTTTACCATTTGCCATTGCCGAGCCACTCTAGAAGCAAATAGACTTTACCAAATGAAATTTTATAATATGAAAAGACATGAAAATTTTCAACAATCGTATATATTTCCAATTGATTGCACGGAAAGGTCTAACACATGAAAAGGTCGAAGATATAGCCTGCACGGTGGTCAGAAAACAAAACAGATCTGCCTTGCACTCAGGCTAAACAGTAATGTAGTTTTATCTCTTGATGATTTAATTTTTTCAATTGTGTAGTTTTCATTGTCGGAGAGCTATTTCTAGAAATGATTTGCAACGAAAGTTCCATATAGCTGTAAAACAAAGCGGTGAACTAAAACTATTCACATAGCGACTTACGGGAAGTTTCTTGCCATTGAGGTACACGTTAACGCCCCGGACACATCCAGCCACATCGTACGCCCGTTTCGTCATCAACGCCACAGTGTCCTTGTCCAATTTTTCCATTTTGAACTTCGCCAGATCGGGATGGTACGCAATAGACGTGTAGTCGTTACGCTCAGTCTCCTTGATCTTAGGGTCCGCTGTTTTCGTCATATTCTTTTTCCATGTCTATTAAAGAGATAATACATTATCTTGAAGGAGACGTCTTAAAGGTGCTAGCTAATATAGGAAGATTAAGCACGAGGACGAAAACGTACAGTAAATGTAAAAATTGCGCCAAGCCAATTATGTTATGTTTCTTTGTCATCTTTGACGTTCCTGTCCACCCGATACAATATATTGTATACGTTTAGAATCACTGGGCATGACGATTTTTGCAAAAAAATTTTGACATTAAAAAATCCTGGCTTATTCCCTTATTAACAAAATGTCCCTTTGAAAACCGTGATGGTGGCTAATTGACGAATGATATAAATATTGAGTGATAATGAGTTGAGTGGCTAACAAGCGTTTTTTGTTCACGCTGTCAGGGAGGTTTTTTGAAAACAATTAGACATAATTTTTGATTTTCATACTGATTTATTGTTTTGTGAGGAGGTTAAAAAACGGTTCTGTTTAATTAAACCGGATTTTAACCTCCCCACCTAATGGTAGAATTTGCAAGCATTAGCTAAATGTCAAAATTAGACTAAATTTTTGAAAAATTAGCCATGAAGGGAGAAAAGCTCACATGAACGACCTTGTTAAAGCGGAATATTTCAAATGTGGGATTGAACCGTATGACTTTCCACACCGCTTATAAATTTTAATCTTGTATAATTCCCTGATAAAACAGAAATACTGGGTAATGCAAATATCTCATCATACCTGTTTGAAATGTTTACTGTCACAGACGGTTTCCACAGTGAACTCAGTACTGTAGATATTGCACAGTTTAGCACCATATCCATTTCTACCACCAGTCACCTTTTTCTGGCTGTCATCATAGTTACTTGACGTTAGCAGATGACCAAAGATCATGCTTGGAACATACATCTTCTCATCTCTGTGCATCTCAATAGGTATTCCTCTACCATTGTTTTGAACTGATATCATATTATTTTCACTAAATGGTTAAAAAATCAACGTAGTTATCATTTTGTAAGAATTTAGGGATAGTGGCAGGGGCATTCCAATGAAGCAAACATCTTAACATCATACTGTCTCTTAGTAAGGTACCCAGACAGGAAATGCAATCAAATGTGTTACTCAGACAAAACTGGAATGATGACTTGCCAGAGGTAAGGGGTTGAACAACTTTGAACATAACTGAACATAACTTTGAACTCAACTATATAAACTTTTCCCAGTTAGCATTAGGTACCGGTAATTAAAGAAGAATATGGAGTTAGTTAAAGTGGAAGTCAAATTGCATTAGTACCTTAATAACAATGAGCAGTTCTTGAATATAAATTTCACCCAAATTTCATGCATTTCAATATTTCTTATAAGACACTAGTTCATATGCATTTAAAGGCATATATTGAACCTAAATGTTCTTAGATATTCAGACAGCACAACACATGTTTCAAAATTTAAGCAACCGACTGTTTCTTTACATACAGACTAGACTTTCACCTTAAAAATACAAGTAAGGGTTAAGAATTTTGCAAGTGCAATGCAAATAGCTTTTTGTCTATTTTGGAATAAAATAATTAATGGAACTGCAGTGTAATCCATGAAATAACTGTGGAAAACAAGGCAGTGAAAAATATGTAACCATTAATAAAACTTACGGGTCAATATTGATTTTTATGTAATTCATTTTTGGATCCCTTTGTTTGTTGTCAGCAGCATTAACTATAATAAAATTAAATTAAATTAAAATCACAATCACAAAGAGAGGACAAAGATAACATGAAAATATTAAAAACTTATGATACAAACATTTGGCACAACGGGTTTTAAATTGGCAGGAAATCCTATTATACTGTACAATTCAATACATCATTAGATCAATTCCAAAATCTAACATCTATTGCTAATTCATTATGAGAAGACATATTAGCAAATTGGCTAATTAAACTATGATCATCAGATGATCAGGTGTACAGTAACAGCACATAATCAATTTAACAATTTCAAACAGGCATGGAGGACTCCATGTTATAATAGATTTAGAAGAAAATCTTGCAAAAATGCAGAAGGGCCAGTGTAGCATATTGATATTTCAGCACATTGCCTACTCAAAAGCCTATTTTAGATTGAAATACTGCTACTGATTGACATGTAATTGGGCAGAAGGTAAACCTATAATTATACATACCAAGTATCTCATCAAAGATCTTGTACAATCCAGGAACAAAACTAATCTCACGATTAACCATGCATTTCTTTTCATCATCCCAAACCCACATGTGCTGCCGAGTTGGTTCAACTGAGCCAATGTAGGCATCAGGACGAAGCAGTATGTGTTCCAACTGTGTTTTTTTCTGGTAGATCCTTTCAACTGAAAGTCTCTTATTTGACTTTTTTGGCTTCTTTCCTGGTTCAGCATTCATGTTTCTTTCCTAGGAAAGACAAATTGCCACATTATGGGATTAATCACATCAATTGATAAAATGCTATTGATAAAGTACTTAAAATATTGAAGTCCAGATGAGCAAAGACAGGCAAATACTGTAGAAAGCAGAAAATGCAGACAACATGCTGAGGGAGAAAGAATACTTAAATTGAAATTTTTGTTTATACATTTCTGCTCAAAAAATCTTGTATGAAAGTGAGCTATTTGTTATTTGTTACTATGCTCAAAAACAGGAAAAAATTGTTTTTGTGCATCTGAATGATAATGCAATCAAGATGTCTGGTTTTAAAGGTTTATTTAGTCTCGGTCTGGTTTTAAAGGTTTATTTAGGGGCTAGTTGTATGAAAGCCGGATGTAGAGCTTTCCATAGGATAGGGATTTTTTCAACGGTTCTAAAAATGCTCAAAAAGCAATCAAATTTCATCTTTGGAACCAACAATTATTAAAGAGGATCATCGATTTAGGAATACTAAGGTTTAATCATAGTTATACCCAACAACAGGCAATTTTAAAGGTATCGAAAAAATCACTCTCCTGTGGGTAGCGCTATCCGGCTTTCATACAACCTACCCTTGGAGTACAAGGGCATTGAGATGTTGTAACTTTTTCCTCACTTAGAAGATTACTATCTAGATTTGATTGACCTAACAATCAGATCAATCGGTATGAATACAACCACATCTTTGGGTAGAAAATTACTGAAAGTGATTTTTACTCTGGCAGATTTATAGGAAGGGTGAGGCAAATCAAATCTTATAGTTTTAAACACACACAAAAATGCCTAATTCTAACTTAAGGGACAAATGGCCAAGCTAGTCTTTTATAAAGTTTCTTTTTGGAGTTAAAAATATTTCAGTAAAAAGGAAAAAATATTGGTACAGGATATTTGCACAGGTTTGAGACATCCAGTAAGGAATTTCCAGTGCCTGTACAAATATGGTATTGCTTGTTAATTATCAAAATGAAAATCACAATTATCTTCAGACAGTGAACTCTAAGTGTGTCTTTTACGTAGTAAAACCTAAGGGAATTATGCCGCTGAACAAACAAGCATGCATTTTCAGGGGTAATTTTCACAGTCAACAAGCCCAGACTGCCCAGTTCCACTGTATGATATAAGAATGTACGTGTGACTACTAAATCTACTTGCAACATTAAATGTAACAAATTGATACAAAAGTGTGATCCGTTTTTCTTACCAGTTAATGGTCACACTAATTTTTCACCTGTCTTTATACAAAAACCTGGGAGCCAAGTCATTCATCATTGGCTATTAGAAATATACCATGATAGGGGGAGGGTTTGGTAGAAGACATATGGCCATATTTTCTATATGGCGATTCCAGGAAGGTCAAACTGGATGAATAATCTGTCGCAATCTTTCATAACTCTTCGTGAATTCAAATTCCAAATTTCTCGTTTGAAATCACCGGACTGGTGGTTCTTACATTACATATTTTTACCTCATGTTAAGTGTAAATTAACGGCAGCCATATTAAGACGACTTGTCTTTGGTTGGACTGTGCTTTGGCGGGAAATTCAAATCTTACACGAAGGGCCATTGTTGAAGGGAAATATGGCTTCGCGAATTCGCCATACAAATGACACAAGTGATAGATTGTGATAGATTAACTCTAATGCGATTTTCTAAACTGCTTTTGTTCCTATCCTATGATAGTTGCTATAACTGCCGCAAAATATTAGGAAATTAACAGAAAAGTTGTTAAAAGCCACATTGTGATCTTGATATTTGAATTGGCTGTTAGCGGAATATGGCGATGACACAAGGCGTATAAAAACGAAACGTTTATCGTTTAGAACTGCACGAACCTGTAGTGGACTATCACAATCTCCCATCTTTGCGCTGAAAGAGAAGCTGTATCCTTTCGAAGTGAAAACCAACAAAATATTAAGCTCCAAAATTCAAATAATGTACCAATGAAGAGCGCCAAGAAAATGAAAACTAATATTCAAATTTCAAATCGAATTAGATTTCATCACCAGACTCCTTCCTCGCTCTGCCAAGAAATACTGAGCGCAAATGCAATACTGCAACGGGACAATATATTTGCACATTCTCCTACTTTTGCTCTGGAAAGTGGAAACGGCATATCAGCATATGCAAGGACATAGAGAAACTTCTGATCTCATAATCTGTGATATCACTTTCGTGCATAAAAGATTGGCAAGTTCTACGAAAGCCTTTTATAAAACTGGTGAATCTTTTTTATTAAAAGTCAAGGTGCTAAGGTATGGCTCGGAACTGCTGAAGATTTATGCTAACAGCTTTGATGGAAAATGTTTCAGGACGTACGCCAGGCACCGGCCCTCTGCGCTGTTGAAAGAAACGACAGCCGCATGTAAATGTGAAGACAATGAAGACTAGCTAGGTTTTGACTGATGCTACCAGTCTTTCAAGCCAGTTGGGAATTGTTGAATGATATTGTTGGATTAGGGTCAGGGTGACTGTGGTGCAAGCTGCCTATGTATATTTTCCAAATATACAGTGCGCGATTACTTGACAAATTTTCAGCCCCGGGACTAAGTTCAGTCCCAGGGTTGAAATTTCATCCCTACCTGAGCAACCCAAGCTGAAATCTCCGAACCCTGGGGTGAAACTAGTCCTAGGGCTGAAATCATGTCATGCCGTAATCGTTTCAACCCAGGGCTGAAGTTATTCGAAGTTTCGAACATGCGTAGCAGTGCCATTTATGCATGTGATTGAAAACAGAAAATGCAAATTTATTATTCGCGGGCATTCTTCAAACCAAGCGCTCAGGGCTGAGTTCTCAGCCTCGAGGTTGAAATTATTAATCGAAAAAAATTTGATCCCGGTCAACAGTGCTGAATTCAACCCCGGGGTTGAAAATGACCCACGCATCGGCTCCTTAATTAGCATTTGTTGTTTGACGTGTTTGAAAGGCGCTTGTCACACTATGCAATTTTCCTTGCAATTTGGCTTAAAATTGGTATAGAGCGTTCGAAAGTGCTAAGAAAACACTAGCTCGTAAGAAATGTTCGTATTTGACAGTTTAGATGTCTCAGGAGTTGAATTGATTGCAAGTTGCCAGAAGAAAAGTTCCATAGTGTAACACAGCCCTAAAGGAACACGCACACTTACAAGACCCTGTTAAAAATAATGCAGTTATTCATGCAACATGCAATACTGACAATTCTACTTTTGAGAGATGTAAACTTGGCAAATCAACAACAAAGGAAGAATTACAATTTGATATTATCAGTTTATTACTTACGCTTACATTTTGAAAATTCTTAACTAATTTACATCCCCATATAAAGTAGCTAGAACTGATTTTCAAGTTGAAAAAAATTACTCCGTGTTATATAGGTACAGAATAGTTGTGTTGTGAATCACTATTAAGATTTGAAGTTTACCTAAGAAGCAAAATTCGTTGGCATGCATAGGTTCACATTTACTTTCGGTTACCCAATATTTCCCCCAGTTCAGGGGTGGCGCCAGAGGGGGGGCAGGGGGGGCTACAGCCCCCGCGTCGGGGAACTCTAGCCCCCCTGTCGGGGAAAATTTTACAATTCGTCGGGGAATGAACGGGAGATATATTGCGTCGCCCTCTATTGTTTTTAGTTCTCCCAAATAAAACAGATAAACTGCTTCAAAATTTAACTTAGTATTTTACATTGTGGTTTGTAGGATAAAAATTTTCATGAAAAAGTCCGTGATAAGACTCTGAAATGCTAATTTCCAAAGATCTAGAGCATAAAAATTTCAAAAATTTTCTCGCTCGGCGCCAACTAAGGTGGCGCCTCGTGTGCCTAGGCTCCAAATCTAAGGCATGGGACTGTAGCAATAAACCGAAAACTGTGCTTCCTACAATTACACGTTAAATAACAACCAGGAGTTCAGCCCCCAGCCCCCCTGTCGGGGACCTTAGCCCCTGTGTCGGGGAATTCCTGGCGCCATCCCTGCCCCAGTTATTTTAATTTAGGAACACACTAGAGCTTTTGTATGTGCTTAACCAATATCAGGGCATGTTCAATTATAATCAATTATAATTATAATGTAGATACAATACAATAGAATAAGATTTATTAGGTTCCCCATAAGGGATCTTCATACCTAATTTACAAGAATAAAAATTATATTCGTTACAATATTTATTATATAATTACTTCTATTTACATGGTTAAAAAATCTTAGTTAAGCCAACAATCGAGAAAATGACTTCTCAATCTATGTTTAAAAGTGTTTAAACTAGACAAGCTGCGTATCTCGGATGGCAGCGAGTTCCATAAAACAAGACCTCTATAACTAAAAGAACTCTGGGCAAGCGCAGTACGGCACTTAATAAGATTAAGATTATTTTTGGTTCTAGTATTGTAGTTATGAATTTGCGATCTATTCTGGAACATGTTTGTTAGGTAACTAGGTGCTTGATTGTTCATGCATTTAAACATCAGGACAGCGTCTCTGAGTCTAAGAACTTCAGATACTGGAAGTAGCCTAAGTTCTTTAAGTGTTGGTGTTGTGTTCATATTTCTTCTTTCCTGACAACAAGCGGGCCGCGAAATTTTGAACTTGTCGAAGTTTGGCAATATTTGACTTGCTGGTGCCTCACGGCCCTGACCACACCGATGAACAATAAAATAGCTTAGAAAATATAAGGGAGTTTATAACAATATAAAGAGTAGATTTATCAAATAGGTGACGGATTCTACTGATCATTGCTAACTTGCCCATAAGGTTGCATGCCAAGATAGTTCTTGTATGCTGTTGCCTTCACGAACGACTTTTACTTTCGATTCGTGCTATACCTACTGCAAATACAAGAGCCACGGAGCAGTGGGGCTTTAATCCCAAATGATTCTCCAAATTCCAAATACACTTGATTCTTATATGGCGATTTATATATCGCCATAAATTCTAATTATAATAAATATAAAAACTAAACCCCAAATGTGAACCTGATACAAACTGAAATATATATATCAGCTAGATTTCTCTATAGTGTTTTGAAAAACATTTTGTATTTACGAGACATTGACAGGGTTCAAATTTCAGAACCTGTGCACTGGTAAAACTGGTAAGTCTGGTTATGACACACGATCTACCGTCCGATATTCGATCGAATATCTGGGTTTTTGCCAAGGATCTAAAATATAAAGTGAGTGCACTTGGGAAAACTACTGAATGTCGATTTTTGTGTAAAATTCCCAAGTTTCTGATAAAAAATTGATTATGCAAACAGATCATGAGCAGGTGAAAAAACTTTCTGCTTTCAAAATGTTAATCACTACAGGAGTACAGCGCACAAGTACAGAGCAGGATAATTTATTATCCCAATAGAAATTACACATGTCGGCAAAATAAAGAGATTAGGCATTAGCATTCCTTGGGTTCTTTACTGCCACATGACGACAATTGTGATATCTTACGGCAGGAAATTATTCTTGGTAATCACCTGTTTGTGTTAAATCACAGTCTTACACACAGTATTAGATGCACCAGTAGGTTGTAGTATTTATTAGCGACTGCCCAAAAGGGATTTCAGTGAATTAAAGGTTTAAGGTTTTTTTAACATTTTCCCCAACTGTTCCTGGCTTGAATTTGATATGTGTATTGTACGATTTTCAAAAAAATAATTACCACAAAATCTTAACTGATTCACTGAACCATTTCAAGTTTAACTCATAAATATGGCCATTCTTACATAATTATATAATAGTTAAGGCCGTTTTCCACTTACGCGTTTTTCATATACGCACGTACACGCACGTAAAAGTCTAAAACCTTATACATCAGTTTACCTTTGAAAAAATTAAGTTTTCTGCATATTTTAGCATGCCATTAGTTGACCTAGATATTAAAAAATAAAAATTTAAAAGCAACTAAAAATTTTAAATACGCGTACGTGCGTATAAAAAACGTGTAAATATAAGTGGGAAGCAGCCTTTAGTGACAGTGAAGTCTTAATATATATATATATATATATATATTAAATATATAGCTTATAAGTTCAACCATATTTAAAATCAGGAATCTCAGTAAAACTTTGTTTATTAAAATTGTCTAAAATTTGACAGGATTGATTTTCTTTAGGATTTTATTTAATTTCTCAATACTATGAGCTATCAGCACGAGTCTTGACTCTTGACACACGTTATAGCCTTTATACTAATATTTGCACGATTCCAGAACAAGTTGCTTCCACTAGATCTAGGCAGCTCACAGGCTAAACTGGGGGGGGGGGGCAGGGTAGATATAGAACTACCTTGTTTTATCATGTCACTTGATGCAAGAATTGGACTTTCACAGAACAAGAATAAACACTATCTTTAAAGAACGGGGCAGTCCTATACACTAAGATTGATCCCTCTGACAGATATTTAACTTTATCTTTAATATATTGGCCTTTTGGCTCGGTATACTATAATTGTACCAATAACACTACCCCCTACCCCCATTTTTAACAGTCTAGCTACGTCGCTGCTACCAGTAAATAAGCGGAGCAATGATAAATTGGTATAACGTTGACGATAAAATTGGTTAACATGCACGATCAAATTTTGTCGGATCGGATCCAATTCACTTCTGATTCTGACCGATCTGACGTACGCCATATGGATTATATAGTCACTTATTGATAATTGAATTAAATGGAATTGAATTTAGTTCATTTGCTTCCCACATAAATATCGCCAAGCGATCTCTCATTCGAAAAACTATAACACAAACACATTTCTCTAAATCTATGACCTCCCAAAGCCATTTTAGAAGAAATGAAGTCGTCATGTCGAGACAAGTTCAATAATTATAGATTCACTGACCCATTTCACTGAACAAATAAATATGTTTATAAGTTGAACCATTACAATCATTGAATTTCAGTTCAAGCATTGCCCTAATCAAAATTTATTTTCGAAGTAATGGATTTTAGGTTTAGCCCCTAAACATAAAATTAAATTCAATACTGTCACTAATAAGACCTTTTACATGCAAGCAAATGTAAACAAAGACAACGTACTACCTGTGTTAACAACACAAATACTTTTACGTACAAATAGAATTTTATTTGATCATATTGTCTATTTCATATTAAATCTTCATACAATCCAGTCGACGGGTTGAACTTAGCAGTTGGCGATATGCTTCCGTACTGACATTTCAAATAGTTCTCGACGTTATTTGGTGCTTGAAATGTTTGAGATTCCAGCGAGATAGAGCGCAATGGAAAGAGCGTTTGCACGGGAATTTCGACTACATTTGCTTGAATAAAATATAAACAGCGATAGATGTTATCAAATCGTTGATAGAACTGCAGGTCAGCGCATACATAGTAGAAATCGGCACCATTGTACTGTGGTCCACATAAATTGAAACTGCCGTAAGTCGGGTCATACACTTCAATCTTTTGAGCGTAATTGGAGACATATCGTGCTTCGTAGGGTTCCGGGAGCAACTGCTTTAACTTATTTAGGATATCAGGTACAATATCTGAGGGATTTGATTCGAAAAACAACGCAATGTCAAAATCGTCATCGTGTGGAATGAACTTCCCACTTCGATATGCTCCCAACAAAGTCCCGTTTTCCACAACCCAAGGAATGTTGAGCTCGTTCAAGACTTTATCTCGCAACAATACTCCAAGTTCTAGTCTTTGTTTACCCCAAACATCCATGCCAGTTCCTGGCGTCTTAAAGTTATTTTCAACGCTCATAATGCATTCTTAAGGTTACCTTCTCCACATGTATCATATAAACAAATTACGTTCATCGCCCACGGAGCTGTTTGCCTCGTTGAACCTTCGTGATAGCTCGGGAGTATTACTAAGAAATGTGGCGCTAAGTAGTTTTCCCAACGCGTGTAAGTGATTTTAGATACCTGACAAACCTGTCATAAACAACAACGTCACAATAGAATGAAGTACCTGCACCACGGAATTGCATACAATTGCAACAGGGTGAACTGTGGAATCCTTGAACAATAAATCAACTCAAGTGCCCTAATAGAACGCGCTGAGAATTAGGATAAAAGATCTTATGGCAATAAATTTTTAATCGTCAGTCACGTAGCCAGCCTGATGTTTAGTCCCGTTATCAGAATTACTCACTTCCGGCTAAATACTTATGTAGACCTCTCTCCTCCGCAGAGGATTCGAATGCAAATAAGCTAGATTTTTAAAGATGACCTTGCAATTATGTCTGTTTCAAGTAAGACAGCAACAAAGACAGTTCCAGGTTGATGAGAACAGGCCTCCACAATGTTGTACTGCACCCCATGAACAATGTTGTCAACAACATGTTGCAATATTGTTAAGCGTAACAAGATGGAACAACATTGTTGACAAAATTGTTCATGGGGTGCAGCACAACATTGCTGAGGTCTGTTCATCAACCGAGAACAACTTGAGCGTTTTTACCGTGTTGACATTGCCTTATTGGACATCTAAATTTTTTTTGCGGTTATAGTCAGTTTTAAGAGGTTGGCAGCCTAAAGGTTGTCCAAATCCCATCGCAAAATTCCACTCCTAGTTGGACTTTTATAAAAAAAAGACAGCATATTCAGATTCGTGGCTGCGGGTTCGCGAAACCGGAGCTGGGTCAGGATTCGAGCGAACCCGGAGCTGGAGTGGCTAGTATTCATATTAACCGATGTGGCGCCTTGCTTTTAATGGAAATCGAAAAATTTAAAAAGGCCATTTTTCTTTGTTATATTGTAAGAACATAGCCGAAAATTTAGTTTGCTCGCATAGCTCCGTAAAGTTCGCTATTTTTGCGCAAAGTTGACTGGTCAGCGGCATAGGCGACCGCAAGGCTTTGTAAAACTTCGATTTACTAGCTTTACGACGCGCTTTTGTAAAAACTAAAAGCTGGCCATTCGAGAGAAAGCTTATGACCTTCTTCTAGCTTGCGAAACCACGACAGCTATAGGCAACTAACTTCTGTAAAGGCTAGCCGTCCGATTTCATGCACGCACCCGTGGCATAAGTTAAATCCCTTCGCGATGGAAAATAACCCGGATTTTCGTATTTCCACATACTAGGTTTATTGAACTGCAAATGTCATATCATCAATGCTAACAATTATTCGAATACTCTAAAAATATATCTCTTGCCGAGATTTTTTCGCTGATTTCTTAACTGATATGACTTTAAATAAAATTCTAAAAGATGGCCATTTGAGATTTACATTCATACTCTTACACCACAAAGATTTGAGGTTTTAGGATTCGTGTCCAGTGAGCGTAACTCCTGAGAGTACAAGCCGTCAGAATTCTGTCACGACCCGACATCATTAACATAATAACATTACAACCCGGTGGACACAGCCACCGTGTTTAAAGAAAATTCACGCTTTAGCGGACAAGGCTGTTAAACCATAACCCCTATATTATTATTGTTAGCCATTATTCGAGTGCTTTACGCTAAAATATCTTTACTTCTTGTACTACACGGCGCAAACAGCATCGCTAAATGATGGTACTAAAAACGGCTAAAGTTTTCAAACGGCTATAAATGTGTCAAATAAACTGAACATCAGTCGGATTTTTTCGCAGATTTCGTCGCTGTTTTGACTTCATATAAAATTCTGAGAGATGGCCATTCGTCAGTCACGTAGCCAACCTGATGTTTAGTACCGTTATCACAATTACACATGCACTTCCGGCTAAATACGTATGTAGACGACGTCATGTAGGCACGCGCACGTAAAAGAAAACTTCAAACTAAGGCCCGCTTTTTCAGGGCTTTTTTTTAACCACGCCAACCGCAAACCGCAGCTTGACGTACAGATTTTGACATTTGCGGTTAACAAATTTTTTACCGCTCAAAGTGTCTTTTTACGTTGTTCATTTGCCTCAGCATGACCTTGCAATTATGTCTGTTTCAAGGAAGACAGCAACCAAGACAGTTCCAGTACACGGCAAAAAACGCTCAGGTTGTTCCCGGTTGATTAGAACAGGCCTCAACAATGTTTTGCTGCACCCCATGAACAATGTTGTCAACAACATGTTGCAATATTGTTAAGCGTAACAAGGTGGAACAACATTGTTGACAAATTTGTTCATGGGGTGCAGCACAACATTGTTGAGGCCTGTTCTCATCAACATCTAAATTATTTTTCGTCGCTGTTTTGACTTCATATAAAATTCTGAGAGATGGCCATTTGCGATTTATATTCATACTGCTATATTATAAAAGAATAAAAGCCTTTGGAAGCAAAACTTTGTCGACAACAACCCCAAAGCGACACTTTTTAGTTTCCACGTTGTTTTGATCTCAGGGAAAACTCGTATGTACTAGAGTTAACCATTCAGCTAATACAATATATAGGAGTTTCCCTGAGATAAAAACAACGTGATTACATAACATCGCTCAGGATCTCTTTGTCAACAGTTTGGGTTCTCATGAGTTGTGGCCGCTGCATGTTAATCCAAAGGCTTTAATCCGAGGTTACTCTCGACCCTCGACTTACTACCCTCGACCTTCATACAAACCCAAACTCAGCACATGACCATACGTGTTTAGGAAATGTCAGGTGTTCCTATAAATGTTTAAGGAGATATATCAAACTCTCGTGTGCGGGTGCACCTTAACATGGTTAAATATATGCTGCTTACGAGTTACAACAAATGTCGTTCGTAAAGTGAGCTCTATATCTCCTTAAACCACGCCTTCGTATATATACGTGCGGCATTTGGCTGAGAACACATAGATTTAAAAGCGATTGAGGTGGAAGATTCATCGAAGCCCATTTTTGTCTAACTGTGAGTAAGTCGATAAAACCGATTAAGATTTAAAGCCTTATTACACGATGAAATTTTTCTTGCAACTTGCAAAGCAATTCTACTTTTAGGAGATGTAAATTAGTGAAGAGTCTTCAAAAATATTGCGTAAAAAACGTCCATGGAGTGTAAGGAAACAAATGTTCGGTAGTTGGAAAAATTACATATCTCTCAAAAGAAGAATTGCATGCATTGAGCCTTTATAATTATACATTCATTAACATTTAACAAGATAATGTATTGCACCTATATATATATATATATATATACATATATATATTTCATATTTCATATATATTTCAAGTTATTTACGACCACATACGGTCTAGTTATAATAAAATTAATGTCAACTTTCATTCTTTTCGTTTGAGTAAAATATTTAGCTTCTACCTCTATACTCGTATAAATGTGCCAAGCAAATATGCCTTTGACTTATATACGACACTGCAAGCATGTCGCTATATGTAACACGAGCTAATGCGGTAAACAACGAGATTAAAACAGAGTACCATTACTATTCCTAGTAAAAGTCTATTTCATATTACATCTTCATACAATCCAGTAGACGGGTTAAATTTAGCAGTTGGCGATATGCTTCCGTACTGACATTTCAAATAGTTCTCGACGTTATTTGGTGCTTGAAATATTTGAGATTCCAGCGAGATAGAGCGCAATGGAAAGAGCGTTTCCACGGGAATTTCGACTACATTTGTTTGAATGAAATATAACCATCGATAGATATTATCAAGTCGTTGATAGAACTGCAGGTCAGCGCTTACATAGTGGTAATCGGCACCATTGTATTTTGGTCCACATAAATTGAAAATGCCGTACGTCGGGTCATACACTTCAATCTTTTGAGCGTAAGTGGAGACATATCGTGCTTCGTAGGGTACAGGGAGCAACTGCTTTAACTTATTTAGGATATCAGGTACAATATCTGAGGGATTTCAGTTCGAAAAATAACGCGATGTCAAAATCGTCATCGTGTGGAATGAACTTTCCACTTCGATATGCTCCCAACAAAGTCCCGTTTTCCACAACCCAAGGAATGTTGAGCTCGTTCAAGACTTTATCTCGCAACAATACTCCAAGTTCTAGTCTTTGTTTACCCCAAACATCCATGCCAGTTCCTGGCATCTTAAAGTTATTCCCAACGCTCATAATCCTTTTGATATGCTCTGCAGTAGAACGTAAAAGCGTGACTAAGGACTGATGCAGACTATGTTCAGTCGCGTGACATAAACATGAAACATTCATCGCCCACTGATCTAATCGCCTCATTGCCTTTTTATAAAACCCGGGAATATTACCCAAAATTACGACACCCACGCAGTACTTTCCCCAGGTAGTGTGATAGTGCAACATGATCTCATTCCAAAATTAAGCTTATATCTTAATTGTCAAAAGCCTCTCAAATTAAGGTATTGCCTTAATTTTTATCATGATAAACGCTGAACAGATTTCAGAGAGATATCGTGGGCACGACCCTGCTTGGCACCCGTTTCGTCTGTTTCCATACGGCTATTAGCCGGTAAAAAACACCCCAAACGGACGGGCTGTCAGCCGTGTAACGTACGTCTGTTTGTACGCTGAGTTCTGCCAATTATAGTTTCTACAGAAATTCTTTACCTAAATCTGAAGTTAAACGAAAAATCACGTTTATAATTTTAAAGAATGAAGTGGTAAGATACTGAACTTTAGAAGTACATGAGATTCTGCTGGAAAATGCGAATATTTTTATTTGTTATGAATTTAATTCTGGAATAAACGACGCCATCTTTTACAATTACAAGATTCTAATAATGTTTCTTTGGGCTATGAGTCAGTCAATTGGAAAGAGTTTACTCTTATAACAGTTTTTAACAGTTTTATTGTGGTATTTTTCTTTAATTTTTCAAAGTAAGGCAATTTTGTTAGACATCTGGCTTGATGATATAACTAGTATGGGGTACATATTTATTTTGGTTTCTTTATATCAATGGTTTATATCAATTATGCAACTTTGCAATGATTTATAGGTAAGGACTGCAGAAACTGTACGTCAAATTATATCAAATATGTACCATCTAAGTGATATTTGCTGATATGTGTAAAAAAAGTTGCCTATTTCAAGCCTTCTGTTCCTGTAGTCATTTATCATCATGATGGTCTCACAGAAATGGAGAAGGTTGCTCAGCCTACAAGGTTTTTACAAGAAAGTAATGATGATGAGATACATGAGCAAATTATATTTTCTGAAATAGAGGATGAAGGATTAGATGAGAGGATCAGTGAAGTTGATAGCACAACTCCTTATCAAAAAGCCCAGAGAAAACAAAAAGGCTTAGGATGATATGAGAACAAAAATGTTCACTATAGAACTGATCATGGAAGTAGAGATACTTGTAGCATACTTCGTCATGCAAGAACCATGCATATGCAAAATAAAAGCTATGGTACTTGCATGTATATATATATATATATGTTATTGACATATATGTGTCAATAAATGTTGAGAAGTATTTTAATGATTTTATTTTTATTCACAGGCATTCTTAGTGATCGATTGTAGTGTGGACTGTGCAATCTTCCTCAGATTGTTCACCTATTGCAGTTTGAAGATACAAGCAAAGAGAAATTTTCAAATAATGTCATATTTCTTTAATCCTATCCTTTCTGTTATGCAAAATACATGTAATAAATAAACCATTGGGTGTGTAGTGGTGGTATATTGTTGTCGATATTGTTCTTGAAAAAGCCTTTAATGCAACCATGACAAAACACCATTAACATTATAACTATAACATTTAAAACACTGCATGTAGCTCTATAACATATACCTATGCTGTATGGTACATGGTGTATGAATGGTGATATTACAGAGTTTGCAGCATGAAATCATCATATTCACGGCTGGCAGCCGTATAACGTACGTCCGCTGTATGGTATATGGTGGTTGAATGCTGATATTACAGAGTTTGCACCATGAAACCATATTCACGGCTGGCAGCCGTATAACGTACGTCTGCTGTATAGTATATGGTGTATGAATGGTGATATTACATAGTTTGCAGCATGAAATCATATTCACGGCTGGCAGCCGTATAACGTACGTCCGCTGTATGGTATATGGTGTATGAATATTGATATTACATAGTTTGCAGCATGAAATCATATTCATGGCTGGCAGCCCTATAACGTACGTCCGCTGTATGGTATATGGGGTATAAATGGTGATATTAGAAAGTTTGCAGCATGAAATCATATTCACGGCTGGCAGCCGTATAACGTACGTCCGCTGTATGGTATATGGTGTATGAATGGCGATATTAGAAAGTTTGCAGCATGAAATCATATTCACGGCTGGCAGCCCTATAACGTACGTCCGCTGTATGGTATATGGTGTATGAATGGTGATATTAGAAAGTTTGCAGCATGAAATCATATTCACGGCTGGCAGCCGTATAACGTACGTCCGCTGTATGGTATATGGTGTATGAATGGTGATATTAGAAAGTTTGCAGCATGAAATCATATTCACGGCTGGCAGCCGTATAACGTACGTCTGCTGTGTGGTATATGATGGTTGAATGGTGATATTAGAGAGTTTGCACCATGAAATCATATTCACGGCTGGCAGCCGTATAACGTACGTCTGCTGTATGGTATATGGTGGTTGAATGGTGATATTAGAGAGTTTGCACCATGAAATCATATTCACGGCTGGCAGCCGTATAACGTACGTCTGCTGTATGGTATATGGTGTATGAATGGTGATATTACATAGTTTGCAGCATGAAATCATATTCACGGCTGGCAGCCGTATAACGTACGTCCGCTGTATGGTATATGGTGTATGAATGCTGATATTACATAGTTTGCAGCATGAAATCATATTCACTGCTGGCAGCCGTATAACGTACGTCCGCTGTATGGTATATGGTGTATGAATGGTGATATTAGAAAGTTTGCAGCATGAAATCATATTCACGGCTGGCAGCCGTATAACGTACGTCTGCTGTGTGGTATATGGTGGTTGAATGGTGATATTAGAGAGTTTGCACCATGAAATCATATTCACGGCTGGCAGCCGTAGAACGTACGTCTGCTGTATGGTATATGGTGGTTGTATGGTGATATTAGAGAGCTCAAACTCATGCTGCAAACAGATTCATGCTGCAAACTCTCTAATATCACCATTCATGCACCATATACCATACAGCGGACGTACGTTATACGGCTGCCAGCCGTGAATATGATTTATAGCTTCAAACTCTCTAATATCACCATTCAACCACCATGTACCATACAGCAGACGTACGTTATACGGCTGCCAGCCGTGAATATGATTTCATGGTGCAAACTCTCTAATATCACCATTCAACCACCATATATCATACAGAAGACGTACGTTATACGGCTGCCAGCCGTGAATATGGTTTCATGCTGCAAACTCTCTAATATCACCATTCAACCACCATATATCATACAGCGGACGTACGTTATACGGCTGCCAGCCGTGAATATGATTTATAGCTTCAAACTCTCTAATATCACCATTCAACCACCATATACCATACAGCGGACGTACGTTATACGGCTGCCAGCCGTGAATATGATTTCATGCTGCAAACTCTCTAATATCACCATTCAACCACCATATATCATACAGCAGACGTACGTTATACGGCTGCCAGCCGTGAATATGATTTCATGCTGCAAACTCTCTAATATCACCATTCAACCACCATATATCATACAGCAGACGTACGTTATACGGCTGCCAGCCGTGAATATGGTTTCATGCTGCAAACTCTCTAATATCACCATTCAACCACCATATACCATACAGCAGACGTACGTTATACGGCTGCCAGCCGTGAATATGATTTCATGGTGCAAACTCTCTAATATCACCATTCATACACTATATACCATACAGCAGACGTACGTTATACGGCTGCCAGCCGTGAATATGGTTTCATGCTGCAAACTCTCTAATATCACCATTCAACCACCATATACCATACAGCGGACGTACTTTATACGGCTGCCAGCCACCAGCCGTGAATATGATTTTATGCTGCAAACTTTCTATCTTTCCGAAATAAATGCGATATCTGAGTTTTTCACCGGACGATTGTGCCATGTTGAGTAAAGCTTGCTGATAATTTGTCCCTTTGCCCCTGGTGATAAAAGGCTGCACGCAAAACTGGGTCTATTCTATAGATGGGCGTAGGAGGCATCCAGAGATTTGGGGGCCAGGGGGACCAGCTTCCAGGGGTCGTTTTGGTTAATAAAAGGGCCTTTAGGGATGGATTGATTGCCAAAACTTTAAGGACACTACTAGCTAGTGTGGTATATATTTATTCTCTATATTCTTATATTTTCGGGGGGAGGAGGGGTGTTTCCACCCGGTTCCTACGTACATCTTTATAGCACGCGTATCATGTGAACAGTCTCAGTATCTCGGGGAAAAGCCCGCATATTTTCGTGTGTTGTGGCGCAATACTATTTGAATAACAAAATTTATTTATCGATTATTAGATGCAAATATTTCGCAAATGAGCACTTTTTCTGTAACAAAATTCCCTCCAGATATTTCACCTGGATATCAGTGAAAAATTCCTTACAGCAAGCCAGACAACAGAGGCCAGACAAGGGAGAAATGCCGGACACAACAGCGCACAATTTTAGATCAATTTAATATTATTGATAGCTAGTTCACTGTAGGTAGGGAAAGTGCCCCCAATCTCGTTCCCCGAGCCCGCGATTCCTCTGGCGAGAAAACGAAGGCTCTGGGATAATCCAAACCGGAAGCCAGAAATCCTGGCTTGCGATTTGTAACGGTTTTTTGTATTTCAAAATTAAAACGGCGTGAACAACCAATCAGAATCATTTCTGGTTTAGATTATCCCAGAGCCTTCGTTTTCTCGCCAGAGGAATCGCGGGCTCGGGGAACGAGATTGAAGTGCCCCAGATTTTGCAGCCTAGTCCCAGGCCTTGTAAATGCGCGCTGCAGATCTTGAGCGCATCATGAAGTCTGGGGCGACCGGACAAACGGACGTACGTTACACGGCTGCCAGCCCGTCCGTTTTAGCCTTTAAACACGGCTATCAGCCGTATGACTTAGATGAACCGGGTGTGCTTGGAGTGGACGCCATTATAATAAATATCTGAGCTTCTTTTACAAATTTACATATTGAAATCGTTAATTAATATGGATGAGTCTGAAGAACAAACAGGTAGAAGTTGTGCATTTGTAAAGCCCCTTTTATATGATAACGACGCTTGATTATTGGGTATGATTCCGCCTTTATATACCGCAGTATATGATAATGAGAACAAATAATAATTGTCGTTTGTCGTAGGCCTTTATAATGTTCCAACTTTAAGACCATATTTAATTCTTTAATAGATAAAACAAAGGCGAATAATAACAGAAAGGCCAAAGCGCAAACAAGTGCACGTCTTGCTAAGGCTTTGGAAGAAGCCGAAAGCCTATTTTCAACAAATACTCCCAGCGCCAACAAAATTCGAAAGAAGCCTCAGAAAAGCCACATTGAAATCAGAAGAGACAACGAGGGGAATAGAATTTACCACTGTCCAAGAAAAGGTTTTGTACAGTATTAACTATACTCTTATTTATTTATATTTTTTACTTTTCAGCTCCGCCTTAATTACAATTTATCTTTTTGGTTGGCCAAACTTCATTGATTCAAGTAAGATATAATAAGTTTAGAGCTGCATTTCACATGACTATTAACCCATTAAGCCACATTGTGCTCAAATGTGCCCTACTTTAGTATTTACTCTAAATTGTCTAACGCCAGACAACTTTACTCGTCAAGGGGAGAGTACTGGCGCCTCCTGATGGGTTAATCAGCTTTTCACTTGTCATATTTTGTTGCTGAATGGTTTGGAAGCTATTTTGTGAATTGTGAGATGACTGAAAAAGTGCATGTTTGCTAATTTAATTAAAGGTACAGTAGCATGGAGAATTTTTCATTATTTTAAAAGGGTCAAGAAGGATGAAAGCTGTTGTGGAAAGCACCAGCATGGCAGATGATATGGATGACTTACCATCACCCACAGCAGAGCAACCCTCCAACAAGGAAATAAATTATCAAGGTGATTACCCATTATCTAGCAATAAGCATGAATGTACCTACTCTCATATCTTACTTTGTCTAGCATTACATCATTTAAATTGTCAGTGGAAGATACTGCCATTTGATAAGTTTATAACACTACTATCTGCCAGTACAAGCAATGGACCTGAATTTGCCTTAACTTTCTTATTTTACCATTTTATGCCGTTTAATACCAGACAATTTTAGTTCTCTCAATAGAATAGTACTGCCAGTTAATGGTTTAGTTAACATTCTGTTATTCACTCATTCTCCAAGCCTAGATGGTTATGTAAGTCACATTTCTGCATTCATTGTCATTTAAAATATTCTCAATTTCATTGATGAAATTTCAGACAACTGGCTAGCATTCTTGATGATTGTGACGAAATATGTAGTGAAATGTATGGAGACTGCCAGGAACCAGAACCCATGTCTCAGTGGCAAAAGAGAACCAAATCTAGTGATGCAAACTGGGAAAATTGGAGAGATAACCTGTTCTCATCTCTTCTTAACTCCTGTGTCATTCCTGAGGATGAATTTATATGTATGGCATGTGGTAATGAAACAGCTGTAGTTAAGTGCTCAGAATGCATTTCTCAGTATATGTGTCCCACCTGTGATGATACAGTGCACAGTGATAAGCCATTGCATGATAGGCAAGAATGGCTTAATGGTTTTTATCATTATCTGAAACCTACAGAAAGTGTGTCAAGAGAAGGAATAATTATGGTAAAAGGTATTTGTAATAATAACAGCACTATTCTGATTTCTACAAATTCAACCATGGGCCTATAGAGTCAGTATAGCACCTTTTCTCATTGTCAAGAGACTTGATTTAGTTTATAATTGTTTTATAGCAGCCCCCCCGTAACATAATTATTTGGTAGTACTTGGCAGGCTTCAATATCCTTATTAAAAGATAATTATGTAGCTAGGTTACATTTGAGTGCATGTGCAGCTAGTATGGATTCATTGATTTAATTTACATAATTTTACTACAATACACTACACAAACAAAAGAGTAAAAGTATTTACTTTTTTGTTGCAGAACGTTACTGTCCGTTGATTTGTGACACACAGTGTAGATCATGTGGTGAAGGGCAGTTAAGAAAATGTGTTGCAAAGGATAAGATAATTTTAGTTACCATGAAAGGTTTGTGTTTGTCCAAACTCTAGAACCAGCAAATCTTTATAAGTAAAGAGCATAAATTGTAAAATGTAAAATTGGGACATCTTAAAATCTCAAAATGTGGATTATTGTAACATGTACCTCTAGAATACTGTATTTCGAGTTTTCAATTAGGATTTTTTAATTTGTGGTTTGTACTTTATCTGTTATTTAAAGTTTGCTTTTATAAAGTGCTTTTTTGTTAGCTAATTTAGTTTATATACAGTCATAATTTTTAATTATCCTTGTTAGGTCGTTATGATTTGCACTGGTTCTCCCTTGTTTGTGAAGCTTGCAATGTTGTCCAACCATTGTCCCTGACAAGCATTATAAATAATGGTTATTGGCCGGGTTCCCCATGCCAAGTAAACTACCTCTTCGACCAAGAAGTGTTTAGAGTGTGGGAAACCTTCAAAATGCGAATGCCTGGATCATCAGAGTCTGCATTTATAAAAGCCTTGGAGGATATTTCTGCAGTGAAAGGCCGGGTAAGTTTAATGCATGGTGATAATAGTATAAGCTGTGCTGTACGGTAATGAACAGAGCATAATTAACATACAGTTCATGTACAGCACACCCAAGTTTGATAAGTGTATGTGATAGCCATTAATTATGTAAGTATATGTTTTCTTTAATTGCCAGACAGGGATAATTAATGCATCCACATTCAGAAAGGCTGCAGCTGAATGGAGATACTGTCAGTATGAAGTAGATAAGTTGCAGGGTATAACCTACATTGATTGTCCTCCATGCTCTATGTCACAACATTCTGCACATGTGGATGGGAATCAGAAGCTTTATCGTTTTAAAAGTGTACCAAGGTGTGTCAATAATTCATACTATTTTGTACCCTGATCTATGTTTAATTTTTGGTTTTTATAAAGTGCATTGTAATCTTGTAAATGCTGTTAAATCTGCCATCCTGCACAGAGCAATGTGTGAAAATTTCTAATTTTAAAAATGTTTCAATAATGTTTTGTAGAGGTAGTAGAACTTCTTACTATGGGGATCTCTTCATTAAGAATAACACAGATGTTGATATTCAGATTGCTGAAGTATATAGCACTGGAAAGAAAGAGGTATTGTGCATCAATTAGCTATATTGCCATCACCATCACAAACAAATTTGGGAAAATGGCATTGTTCACAGCGTGGGTTATAAAAGCACTGAAAATGGTTGTACAATCCATACTTATGTTTACTTAAACTATGTAATAGGATAATTTCTATGAATACAATACCGGTACCGGTAATTAAATCCTTTTATAAATAAATATTTCCAAAATACCCAAGCCATATTTCACTTTTAAATTTCTGTCAAGAGTTTGCCTTGTTGAAACTAGCTCGGGCACAAATTTTCAGTTAATATCCTTGCATCGCTGTGTCTGTTGTAAAACAGGACTCATTTCACGCATATCCAGTCTATATATAATACGGTAACAGCATTGTGCCCAAAACGACCTCCTTTTACGCACAAACTTAAATTGAATATTTCACTTTGAAATTTCTGTCAAGAGTTTACCTTGGTAAAACTAGCTCGGGCACAAATTTTCAGTTAATATCGTTACATCGCTGTGTCTGTTGTAAAACAGGACTCATTTCACGCATACCCAGTCTATATATAATACGGTAACAGCATTGTGCCCAAAACGACCTCTTTTTACACACAAACTTAAATTGAATATTTCACTTTGAAATTTCTGTCAAGAGTTTACCTTGGTAAAACTAGCTCGGGCACAAATTTTCAGTTAATATCGTTACATCGCTGTATCTGTTGTAAAACAGGACTCATTTCACGCATACCCAGTCTATATATAATACGGTAACAGCGTTGTGCCCAAAACGACCTCTTTTTACACACAAACTTAAATTGAATATTTCACTTTGAAATTTCTGTCAAGAGTTTACCTTGGTAAAACTAGCTCGGGCACAAATTTTCAGTTAATATCGTTACATGACTGTGTCTGTTGTAAAACAGGACTCATTTCACGCATATCATGCATCAAAGACGTTCGATCGGACACTATCGTAAGATCATAAACGTAAAAGCACTGCCTTATCCAGGCGGGTAGACAATTTACCCTATTTCGAGTAGATATAACACATGCACCTTATAAGTGAATATGTTTTACAAATTTGGGCGAGTTTCTAAAGTTTATCCTCGGCTTCAGGAGAACAGATCATAGTTGTAGAGAACGGGGGCAATTGCCCCCACCCCGAAGAAAAGTTAGAAGTTGGAAAGTTAGGCAAATTTCAACATTGCATGTATGGTCGGATGAAAAATGGGCAGGAAATTATAAAGTCCCATTTTTCAAAAATTGCCAGTAAATTTGGTCGACAGGGGAGGGGAAATATTCATTACCCCCTAAAGTAATAGCTCCTCTACGCCTACGGAACAGATCCTGTTATGTCAGATTATGTTAGTTCCCATAAAACTGCATGCGCACTCCTCATTCTTGCACGTCCCCGGGTAGTTTAGGTGCAACAAACGGAAATTTAACGATTCTAAAAGACAGTCAAATTTTGGTTAAACTAAAGCCTATTTTTCATTCGGAAAATATATAATCGCGCGACCCGGAAGTTCGTTTCCGTGGTGAATTTCGACGCGCTAAAAACGCTGTTCAGAAACATAAAGTTCTTCCATTACAACAGGCCGGTTTTTCAGCGGTTCACAGAGCGGTTTGCAATTTTGCATTTCACTCACTGGTATTAATTTTCCATATATAAGACAGCCGCCGACAATACGAGCCTGCACGAGTAGGAGAATTTTCGCTGACATGGACCAACGTGAGTATTTGACGTGAAAAACGTTTTTGGTTGCCTTATTGATTTCCTTCTTGAGTGCATGAACCAATTTGCCTCGTTATATTTTGGCTTATCGTTTGATTCAGAACCAGATCGATGACTTTTCGTCCGTGTTGTAATGGTGCGCCCTTCGTGTTTTTTTTTCTTATTTCAAACAAGTTGTTTTCGTTCTTAAAATTAATTAAAGCATTAACTACAGACATTAAAGTTTTAAGCCCTTTTTTTTTAAATCAACAATACGACGCACTCTACATCATCTACAATGCGTTCGCTGCTACGCGTTCATGCGTTCAGTGAACAGCAGATTGGTTTCTTTCTATTTCAGTAGATAGATATTCAGGAATGTTGTAGTGCTATACTTGGGCACAATACGCCAGGACAAGCCTGGCACACGGAAACTTAAACAGGAAATAAGCTTGCATGGATGGACGGACGGTCAAAGTTTGCCCGGGCAGGCCGTCTCCTGGAAACTCAAAGGCCATCCGTCTGGTTTCCATGTAACGATCATGACCCGTCGCAGACTTAACTGTTGTCAATTAACATTGAAATAGACAATGACTTCAGACATACAAAAATCAGTATAATCGTTTATTAACTATGTGATCTTTATTCGCGGTTAATTCAACAACTTTTATAAATTTGACTGCCCGCTGGAATTCGGTGGATAGCGCTATCCGGTCTTCGTACGACCGACGCCTGGTCCTTAAAATCTATATTCATCAGTGATGTCCATTGCCAAGTGGTCATTGAGGCGTAAAATATTTTCGGGTCGTATAGAACATCGCCGATAAATTACGACATATGAAGACTAGGCTCAAGGCCTGGTTCACACTTGTCCTGAGAATCGGGGATTCATTGTATTATTTTCCGATAGACAAAGGATCTTATGCAACCTCAGATAAAGGGAATCCCAGACTCTTAGGAGAAGTGTGAACCCGGCTTGAGGGGTAAAGCAACAGAAGTTAGTGGCCATGAATGAAATTCTCCTATATGAATTCTATCAGGATCATCAAAAGTTCCAGGGCAGGGCGGCTTTAGCTGACATGTCGGCAATATTTCCTTTATTTCAATAACAACATGGCCATGTTTTAACGGTTTTCCATGAACTGTTTTTTGGCTGTGCACAACACCCCATGCTTGCACGCATTTATTGGAGTCGACAAGGCCAACTTTAGTTCCTAAAGAAAACGAAAGCAGCTAGCTGGAAATGAGAAATTTTCATACTTATATACGGAAAAATATGCGAGCAAAACAATGCTTTCTAATGCCTTACATCTCCACCTCAGAATTATTAGTATGTTAACATGCTTTCATGCGATAAAATACAATTAAAAATTCATGCTTTAATAATGAACATGCAGCAATTCAAAATACGACCTCTTTTATAGCTATATACTTTGTAGTTTCTAGTTTGCTTTATAGCTTTTGCAGAAAGACTTTGCAGAAAGCATACAATTCGCTTTATTGCATAATTTTTCTTCCCTAATTACGGTTAACATATATAGAGTATATTTACCTGCTGTTATTAACACAACATTTTTCCTTTTACTTTCTGTATTTACATCAGCATTGATGTTATGGCGAGCGATATTGTTAGTGGTAACAGAAGTGTTAGTATTAGTGCTACTATTTGTGCTGCAATTGGTGCTAACATTAGAACTGCTATGTGTGTTAGTGGTAGTGCTCAAGTTAGTCTCGTCAGTGTTCAAGTTGGTGTTAGATTTAGTATTGCTGTTAGCTTTCGAGTTGTCATTAGTATTAGTGTTACTGTTTGAATTAAAACCTATATTAATGATAGTGTTCGAGTTGGTCTCATTGTTAGCGTCAGTGATATCAGTACTATCTCTAGGTTGTACATTAGTGTCCAGGTTAGTGAGGATGTCTGCGTCGGCATTTGTTACAGGGTTAACATTAGTGTGAATATGAGCAGTATTAGTAGACGTGTTGCATGTAAGATTAATATTAGTGCTAGAGTTAGAATCTTCCTTTATATTGGTCTTTTCGTGAAGGATTCCAAGCCTAAAGACGTTTTTCAGGCTGGCACCAGCCTTAGAACTTAGCAGACTTGTACTAAATCCAGGTGTTCCAAAACAATCCCAGGTGTCACCTCTAGCATGCGATTTATGGAACATGACGATAATGTCGTATTCATGATTGACATGCAGTGTATCTACCTGAAAGGATAAATGGGTAAGACGTACAATAAATAGATACATGTACTGAGCAACAGAAAATAGCGAATAAGAGAGATCGTTGCTGGGATAGTGGGAGGTTTATTCGCCAGATCATAGCCCATAAAAGACAGACATGCGCAACTCCAATATGCCTTTCAGCAAAAAAACGAACTCCATGTTGAAAAACAATGGCATTTGCTGTATTGAAATCAATTCACATCCGAGATGTGACGATGAAGCGAACATTATTTCAACCCAATTGTTTCAACTGGCCCTCTCTGATTTTTATTAAATGATATTCCAAAACGTATGTTAAGTCAGTTTATCACGCTTATCGAACAAGATAGTGTCAACATATTGATAGTATCAGTCAAAGAGACTGTTAAATCACCATATGAAAGGTGAAAATCAACACATTTCTTATTTCGTACCCTTTTTTTCAAAAGATCCCATTGGTTGGAAGGATTGGTTCCTTGTGGCAACTTAAGTTTTTTTTTGCTTTGTTGAAAGTTAGAGCCGCAATGAAAACACCGTCGACAAGCATTTCCAACTAATTTGTTACAGAAAGGGCACTTCTTTTTTCTACTAGTATTCTATATAATAAATAAATATATTATTAAAATAAGATGTTATAATACAAAATAAGCTACAAAATCTACCTGTACGTAGCTACAATACCTATGTTAGAAAGTACAACAACATGTACCCAGGGCCGTAGCTAGACGCTTAATTTGGGGATGCATGTTCGTCGTATGTCCGACTGATTTCTTTTGAAAGCGATTGTTTTTATAGTATGTAAACATGCATAAATATATGAATATAAATTCCCCAATTAAGCGGTCTAGCTACGGCCTACGGCCCGGCAAGTATGGTTTCCATATGACGCCGACGTCTGCAAAGTATTATTGTCGTAAAATCTTTTGTCCTCGTTCACCTTGGATGATTACAAACAATGAGTCGGCGACAGGTCAACGTCATATGGAAACCAGGCTTTAAACATCCATATTTACTATACAGGCCTATTCAACTTATTAACAAACTTTTCAGAAGTTTGATTAAGGATTTCTGTTATTGTTAACCTAGGGAAACTAACCCTAGGTTAACAGAAATTGTTAATCAAACTTCTGCAAAGCTTGTTAATAAGTTGAATAGGCTTTTTGTAGAAATGGTTGTTTGCAAATTTGCAGTCTGAACATGAAGTGAAGTCTAAAAGTCCTTAGTAAGCCTTGTAACGCAGTCTATTATTAAGATGAAGGTAAGACAACCTTTGTGTGTTTGGATAGGTAAACTACCTGTAAAATTTCTTGCATTTTACAGGTGCGTAGGTTACATATCCAAACGCAGCGAATTCTGCGATACACTACACTGGCACCGCAAATTAAAGAGAACGTTTGTCACTACAGTCTGTATATCTGCCGTTACTACAGTCTGTATATCTACCATGCTTAAAGTGATTATATTTATAATAATTTATATTAATAATTTATTAATAATTTAAATTATACTAATAAGTACTATTTACATGACTGTTTTCTATTTCTTAATATCACTAGACATCATTAAACCAGCAACTTACAACTTTTGAAACCATTCTTGTCAAATCTTCTTCTGATTCTAAATACGATTCACAAAACGTATTCATTAATAAAGAAAGAATAAAACTGCACCGTAGTTGTAGTTAAAATTACAACATTAAAAATATATGCAGGGACCATTATACGATATGTCGATATCCAGATGTCAAAATTATAATGATTTACTGTACACTTTTGCATTCTCATTTACCGTTGTATTTCAGATCAAATAGAAAGCAAAGTGCATATATATCTACCTAACTTTTTAACAGTTAATACTTCTTATTAAATATATCTACCTAACTTTTTAACACTTAATACTACTAATTTCAGATGAAATTATTTGTCAGTGGTAGGGTACTGCTATAGTTATAGGCCAAAAAAGTATATGTCTGCTTGAATCTCTTGTTAATTAAGACACCTAGTTGTGGCCTACTTCAAAATTTTGCTCTGATTACTCCAACAAATGGGTTAATTCCCAAATTACATTTGTACTGCTGTCTAGCTCAATCATTCTCATATACTATTAATAATCGTGATCCAGCCATTATTTTAAGTTGCAACTACCTGTGCAGCCAATTTCTTTCAATGAAGGAATCTTTAGGATTAACTAATTAAATGAAGAGATTCTTCTAATGAGGCAATCTGTATATAGTATTTAAAGTTATTTAATATTATGCACTACTTTTTCATGGTATTGATTGTCAGCCTGCTTTTTAAGGGTTGTTTTCTATCTCCTAATCAACAAAGTTTTAACTTGCTTTACAGCTTGCTAACACTTTACAGCCTAAATATTCTTCTAAACTCCAAATCTTCCATAATGTACTCAATGATTTTTTGTATGAAATATATGATATTGCAGCCAAATATCTTCCAGGCAGAAAATGAATAATAATAATAAACAGAGCCCAAAATATATCTTTTAATAATATGGCTATTAAAACAGTTAGGATTTAGTTAAGAGTTATAAAGCATAGACTTTTGCAATTAACACTTGTGAATAATTGATTAACAAAAGCTTTTAAATAACTAAGCAGCTTAAACCCTCTCTTAACAGCTTCATTCGATCAACATGTACCAGTTACGTCTCTTCATATGCACCATGTCATGTACTATTCCTCATCCTCCTATTCTTTATTATCCCTCCTATCTTGTAACTTAATTAACACCTGGCAAATATTGAAACTAATTAGCACTGTAAATTTAGTTATAATTACACAGTCATACATGTAATTATTCTATGAGCACATAATTAATACAAGCTTCTAAAAGATTTTAAAGGTGCATAATTTGAATGAATGATAATGGCTTTATTAAAGTATCAAAGTCTTTATTTTAAAGCTTTTATTAAAGTTTTATACTTGCTTATATGAAGTTATGTTTCCCTTATTAGTTGTGCAACTATCAATGTGAATTTAGCAAGGGAATTGATTTACATACAGACGTTTGTATGACACTATAGCTACTTGAAATTTGCTCTTTTACATTCATGCCATTATTCCTGAGATGTGGCACATGGAAACAACATGAATATTAGGTGCATAACTTTACCTTATGCATGTTGAAACAACAACTTTAACACTAAAGAAACTTTGCACATTAACCCATTAAGCACTAGTGCTCTTCCCTTGATAGGTAAAATCATCTGGCAATGGAGTAAAATACCAAAGTATGATACATCAGGGTGCAATGCAACTTAATGAATTAACCAATTAACTGCTATAAGTCATATTTTTTTAAAGTTTTAAAATGTACAGTGGTTCAGAAAGAAGCACATAAACAAAAACTCTTCATTAAAATTTAACCCATGCAGAGTTAGCACTAACTTATCTTTGAACAACTGGCCCCTGGTGGCTGGTGAGTAAAATAATCTAGCATTAGACAGAGCAAAATACCAAAGTAGATGCATTTAAGTTCAATCGCAAGTTACATGGTCAACAAGAGACACTGGAAAATGGTTTTATAACTCATAACATGGCAATCATCATTGATAAAATGCTAAAGTTGCTTGTGTATTGGCAAATAATAGGTTATTTAGTTCATAAGACACTACAGTACGTGTCAGATAGATATTTTGGTGTTTTCACAGAGCAATTATAGAACACCCTGCCAACCCAACTCTTAACAGTGAACTAACAGTGAATGCCATATAGTCTTGTAGATAAATGATTATAAATGTACCTTGTTTTATGTTTCTTAATGTATGAATTGGACCTCCAGAGAACAAGAATAAACACTATTTTTAAAGAACAGGGCAATTCTGTACTCTAAAATTGATCCTCTGACAGATTTTTAACATTATGCGCTATTGGCAGGGTATTCTATAATTGTACCTTTTAACAACCTCCCAAGAGAGCTTATTTACCATGTTAAAAATCAGGAAAATTTCGTATAAAACGGATGTTTAAAGCTGTCAAACTCAAACTTTGTATATGTTTGGCAGCTCTATCGGCAGAATAGATAGTTCCCAATAGCGGGGAAAGTATTTAAAGCAATAATCACGGGGGAAACATATCACAATATCAATAATTCAATATGGCTTTCACTAACTAGTTCTAAAATGCTGAAAAGATTAAATAATAGTGCACTAACCATAGAGCTTTTGAAAACCACAAGAAGCATGTACAAATTCTCACCTGTTTGTCTTTCACATTCATCCATATTCATGACAAAAAACGCAAAACAATTTGTATATGTTTCTAAAATTATAATACCGGGTATAAATTGCGCGAAGATTTTGGATGGGTAAAGATGCGACAGCGATATCTCTCTGAAATCTGTTCAGCGTTTATCATGATAAAAATTAAGGCAATACCTTAATTTGAGAGGCTTTTGACAATTAAGATATAAGCTTAATTTTGGAATGAGATCATGTTGGATAGTGCATGTACCTGAGGCCTAGATTCAGTACCCGGTTATTATTTCGTTCACGGTCGGGGGACTGGAGGGAGAGAGGAGAAAACTCAGGAAAGCAAAGATGGCGGATGTAAAAGTGAATATTACTTGCGAATACGATTTGTGTACGTTGAATCGTTGATATAGCTGGGTATAAAAAAGTGAGAAAACATAAAATTCGCGACGAGGATAGAAAAATTTGCTATACACGAACTGTATAGTTTTTCCTGATGTTTCAATTATATATTACCAGCAGTTATGAATAATCGGTTCGGCAAACTGAAAGATAACAATGCGTTTAATATAAAAAAGTGATACGAACTCGATGACTCATCTTGTTTTTTTAATAAGAATGTTGCCTGTCTTTGTTCTGTTAATGACATTAGTTAACATTACGGCAGGAAGAGCCTAAAGCCTTAAATACCCCCAACAATATTCGCAAACAAATGTCGGGACTGAGCGACTACGGGGCGCACGAAATAATAGGTGATGCCCTGTTTCTCTCAACTGTTCGATTTGTACCTTGGTGATGTTATATGCAGGTCTTCCTCCCGTACTAGGCAAAAGCGAAATAACATTTCTTACTTCCTCGATGGGATAATTGTCGACAATCTCAGCTAACTTTTCGAGTTCTCTTTCCATTGCAGCAATCAAATTACCAAGCAAAATTCTTAACGACGAATTTGGCGCTGTATTTTCATCTACAGCTGTCTTCATAGCAACTACGATAAGAATATAGTCTTCCAATTTGTTCTTGCAATGTTCTGATCCTATTGGATCCCGATTACATTGAGATCTCTGACATTGAAGAAACAAACTATCAAGAGCACTGACAAAATTTTGCAGCTCATTCACGTTGGCAGCCATGACGCTTCTAAATGATCACGCTAAATTCCATCGGTTCCGACCACGTACCGCTGACCAAAGGCACAGGCGAAAATCTCGAGTATCGTTTGCATTTTCTCAACTATCGCACACAGCAGCAAAACTCTCGACAATCGTATACGTTTCTCGACTTAAAATAACAATTCTCGACAGTCGTTTACACTTTTCTCGACTATAGTATACATTTCTCATATATTGCATGCAGTTCTCGTTTATCGCGTACACATCTCGACCTGCTTTTGTCCAGTTTGGCTTGCCATAGACACGCACTGCACAGAAATGGGAAGCAAAATATGGGTAAATTAAGGGATCTGCACAAAACCAGTTAGTGATAGAGGGTCATAGTGTGCCAACCGCCAACGGAGCGAACGGTCTGTGACTCGAAAGACGCGATATTCGATATAGCGCTAGCTATACAAACGTGAATTTTGGGTGAAGATTTTAGTAATTTTTTCATTCTTATTTGTTAATCAATATATTTTATAAACCCAACCGAAATTGTGTGAATTTGAGACTTGTCGAGGACTAAACGATACTGAACGGAGGCTAATTCTCATCACCTGGCACCTTCGAGATTGGATCGCGAACTCGTTGAACAACGATGGAAGAAGAAAAGGAGAGTACTGCTGGAGAGACAGTCTCGGAGATGGTCGTTCAACCAACTGAGGACAGTATACCAGAATTGACAAAGGCAGACATCGAATTGGAGACGAAATTATAATAATCCTTCCAGCTGAAATTAGTGACGAGAGAGTCAGATAAAATCCTGGCAACAGGTGAGCGTGAAACTATAAAACGCGACATCGAAACACTGCAATCTGTAAACACCGCGGCTAACGAGTGCAAGCGCAAAGTTGAAGAACAGAAAATCGCGAGAAAAACAAGCATGAGCGAAATTTCCGATTGGAGTGACAGTGTTGACACTCGAAGTAGCTGATTTACAGATTTCAAAGTTAAGCGATTGTTAGCAGAAGAGAAACGTAACGCTAAGGCTGCAGGACTAGAGCAGCAACGTGCAGCAGAACTAAAGTTGCATGAACAGAAACTACGCATGCAAAGGGAAATGACCCCACCCAAACCGGAAACTCAGGAATGCCCAAGTCGAAACGCAAAGCTACCGAAACTTGTGATTACGAAGTTTATTGGGTCATTTAAAGACTGGCCTAGGTTTGGGGGATAATTTACTGAAGGAATTGATAAGAGCTCCTTGGCCCCCATTACCAAAATTACGTATTTGTTAGAATTATTGGCTCCAAAGGTCAAAACATGCGTCGAGTCCCAGCCCTTTTCAACCGAAGGTTACAATAGGTGCCAAAGCTATTCTCCAAGACAAATACGGCAAGGAATCTGTATTAGGGAGATTTTTGATCTACCTCATATTCCGAACAGTAACCCCCGTAAAATTGCCGAATTTAGTGAGATTTTGACCTGTTGCGTGCGCGCCTTGCAGACCTTGAGGAAACTCGATCGGAAATGTCTCGATGACATTAGATAAATGGTCAGGTATCAGGGGCGATTTAGTTAAAACCGATCCTGAATGGGAAACATGGGATTTCGAGAAGTTAACTGAGGCAGTGCGACAGTGGGTAAAACGCAATCCGGTAAACGAAAGCGACCCTTCCGAAAACAAATTTTAGCAAGAAAGGGTTTGTGCTTTAACTGCGCTACGAAATTTCACCGGGCTTCGGACTGTGCCAGCAAGATGTCTTGTGGGCATTGCAACAAGCGTCATCACTCATCCATGTGCGAACAGTACAAGCATGAACGCGACGAAAGGTCTGGTCAAGATCATACAAAAGAAGGGGACCAATCACCCGGGGCTAAGAAAGTGATGACAGCTAGATGGGGCAAGCGCGGAACAGGGTGTATAAAAACCCCTGCAACACTTAATATTTATATATGTTCGCTAAAATTCAATAACAAAAGATCATCTCTGGGAATTATTAAGGTTTTGATACCCCGTAGTGCATGACAACTGATATAGTGATCGGACGATTACCATGCTCACACTTTGTCTATTCACTTTGTCTTTGTCATTTTTGGACCAGGAACTGGTCCCCACACCGACACACGCGGCTAATCTTGTTGTTGTTGTTGTTGTTGTTGTTGTGTTGTTTGCTGTTGCTGTTGCTGTTGCTGCTGCTGCTGCTGCTGCTGCTGCTGCTGCTGCTGTTGCTGTTGTTGTTGTGGTTGTTGTGGTTGTTGTTGTGGTTGTTGTTAGGGGGTGACGCTCTTTAAAAAAGCCTAAGGCTCCGTCAATTCGCATCAGATCGCACAACTATCTTTAGCGATATTCCCCATCGATTGACGGAGTTATAATTTTGATTATTTTTTTTAAAGAAATTTAGAAGCAACTCAAATTTATAGCGTAGTAATCCGTGGAGATTATATTCAATATTAGTATGCATAACTGAAGCAATTTCAAACGGCTAAGGCTCCGTCATTTCGCACCAGATCGTGATAAAACTTCACACAACCAGTGGCGTAGCCAGCCCGACAATTTAGTCATGCTATGCTAATATTTTGGTGTTCATTGACTGTGAAAACAATGAATTTCTAAAGAAATGAATAATGATAATAACATAAAATTTGCATAGCATGACTAAATCGTCAGGCTGGCTACGCCACTGCACACAACTATCTTAAAGGTTATTCTCTATCAACTTATGGAGTTAAATTGCTTGTGCTTGTATTCTTCAGAAGATTTGCAAGCCATGTCAGATTGTGGCGGGAGGCAAATTTCAATATTATTAATATTCATATACTATGAGTTCAAGCCAGAAGGTCGTGTATTTTCTTTGTTTTGTACACAATATAATTATATTCATGACTATAGCACCATTGCGTTAAATGCGTTTCTCTCTAGGGCATTACTTATTTTTTATTTATTTGTTTAGGCTTTGCCCAGCATACATATACATAAAAAACGACTGTAATGACAGTGGCACGGTGCACACAACGCTAGCTTCTCGCCAACTACAGCGGCATAGGTTAGGACATAGATGTGCAACTCAGCACATTTTAAGTGTCTTTGTATTGAAAGCAGATGAGAAAATGTAGAAAAACGACAATTTTAATATAACCGTTAGCAAGATTGCCTAGGTTCATAGATATTTGAAATTTCATCCTGGAAAGAAAGATTGAATCTATACTTCACCAGTTCCTGGTCTAATAAGTACGATCGTACTTGTATTCTATTCCAACTGCATTCCTGCTAACATCAGCTCACGGGAGATAGAGTTACGGGAAATGCGAGCCCGTGAGCCGAGGCGCGCAGGACGAGAGGATCCCACGTTGGGTGGGGAGGTGGGAAGTACCGATTCGTGTGAATAACCTCAAACGAGTTAAACAAAACAAAAAAGAAAAGATTAACATTCCACGCCTTTACTTATCATACAAGATATATGAAGTTCAATTATTCTCCATTACCATGTCGTAAATTTGTTATTAAAGAATGCTACAACGTTGCATGCAGGAAAACCCCCTCCGCACATAAGCATGCATTCTCAACTCCGTTCCTGGATCCGCGTTTAACAACTGACCCTGATTTACTAACATCTCAGTCTTATATACCTGATGTTACGCTTGACTGCACTTAGAATAGTATTCTATTCCAACTGCATTCCTGCTAACATCAGCTCACGGGAGATAGAGTTACGGGAAATGCGAGCCCTGTCGCCATACCACGCCTACAACCCGGCTGGATCGTTTCGAACCCCCTCCTTGCCCCAAAACTTCCCGAAACTACAATCCGAACCCTACTCCCCGAAACTACTTTCCCTCCTAGTTCCCAAAACTAAAGACCTGAATCCATCTCAAAATTGAGCTAATTGGGAAAGAAAGGTTCGAAGTTAACTAAATTGTCACAATTGCGGAATTCGATGCCCAACTCTTCATCTGGGCTACACCCAAGGCTACACCGAGTCCCTGCCGCAAGCAGAATACTGTCATTCAACGTTTCGACGGTGGTGACGGCCGCTAAAACTTTATCCAACTGTGTGTAATAGTCCACCATCTGCGTGGATGACCAGCCGATATGCTGAGCAATTTCATTCTTGGATGCGCCAAGAAGACCCAGCAAAATAGCCGCACCTCCTCTGAAGCCATGCACCGTCTCACGGGTATACAGGCCCAGGTCTTTTAAATATGTCACAAGCCTCGCTTGAGACGCGGACGCCAGGAAGGGAGAAGTCGATACGGAGGTATTCTTAACGGTCGTACGAAAAGGAAAGCCGGAGCCCAAGTTGATGCGCATAGCAGGGCATAGCATACGGTAAATTATTTAGAAATTACCCACAGCCCTGACTCGCCCGTATTGCCAGTCCCAGGTAACCCCTAAGGGCATAAAGGCATTAGACGCCCGCACCCAGGTCCGACAACAGCCGAGTCAAGTAATGTCGCACGACGACCGAGAGAAGGTCGTTAGTATGTTTTTAACTGAATCATTGGGTGGGCACCACTCATATGAACAGGCCTTGCGATTCGTCGATTGTGACAATAAGAGACACTGAAGCAATAGAAATTGTCGGTCTAAAGGAAGGGTCAATGATCATACTTAAACTCAAGCAATACCCGCGAATGGCGTACCCAGGACAAGGGAAATGATGTGAAATATTCGTGCGTCAGCATGCAGAACAAATACGTTACTACCGAGTCATCAAACACGTTTCAAATGTCCCTCTCGGCAATTACCGAGTTGTTAAGGACATTAAAAAATTGTATTCTCGTCCACTGCAGGGGGATCACCGTTTAGCATGCTGTTCGTAGGCCACTACTGAGCCGTTAAACATGTTTACAAATCTCCTCTCGGTCACTACCGGGAGGTCATCTAAAATTCTCCTCTCGGTCACGAGCGAATGATTAGGCACATTTAAA